GGAGGGGACAGAGGACAAGGAGAGCGTCCCAGAGGGAGCCATGGAGGAGGGAACCAGCGACAGTAACACGGGCTCAGAGACCACCTCTGCTCAGACAGAAGATGCCCCGACTAGTGAGCTGCCAGAGGGGCCCAGCCGGGCGAGAGCAGCCCACTGAGTCCAACACCTGACTGTCTGTGAACTGTAAGGCATCTGTTGGCCTCTGACATGACCCTTCAGTAACATACATTGCACAGTATCATCTCAGTTTGTCAAAGCATATGAAGAACATCTAGACGGGCTCAGTGTTTAACAACCCTGAGGCAGAGATGATGTTTTAGTTGAGTTTAAAAATACCAAGCCTCACAGACATGCGCTGAATACAAATAAATGAAAAATGTACAGCACTTGAAGCCGACGAAGCAATGGTCCTTTTTGAAATTAAAGGCTGCTAAGTGCGCCACAAAAGCCTGCTTGAAAGCACTATATTTCCTCCATAGGCCTCATTGCCGTTTGGAAGAACCCATACAAGCCCTCTTCAGCACATATTGATACATATCTCTAGCACTATGTCTGGCAGATCCCAGATCGTCGCAGATTAAGACTGGCTATATTAAAAAAAGCTGTCACATGAATCAAACATTGCTCAGTGTTATATTTAACTTTGTCCTTTGTATTGTAGTGTCCCTGTTGCTTTTATTATGTTTGCATGTTGCAATTTTTTAAAGAATAAGTTGGCCTACTTGTGAAGAGCTGGGTGACCATCTCCTTGGCGGGAGAACATTTGTTTACTCTCTGTATCAGTATTACAGTGACAGTATTGTCTCAGGAGTTTGTAGTCATTAGTAGTAGTTATTTGTTATTTATTATCAGCATTTTTTATTATACTTGTGTATTGGTTGTCTCAGCCCATCCATAAGTATATCACATGATCATCAATGCTGTACAATGCTCAACTACCAGTGTTCTCAAGTTTGCTAGCTGTCAATCAAATCAAAAGCAGTACGCTTAGAACATTTCTGTGTTATGCTCAATATTGCAATTTTCTGCCTAAAAACTTTTAAATGTACCGTAATTGTGTACACAGTGTAACGAGGTTTGCTTAAACATGGATTTTCATGTCGTGAAACAGCTTGAAGAACAGTCATAAACATGCAGTCTTAAAATTAATTTCCTTTTTCATATTTATACCAATAAACTTTTCTACCCTGAACAAGTTTGTGCTTCAGTTGTTTTCAAAAAACATTATGCAAGATGATTATCTCTGAGTATAAACAAATATAAATTTACATTTATGGTACAAACAGGCGTAATTTAATGGTGCTTCAAGACATTCAGAGTCTAGACTGGGATTGCCTGCACTGGCTCTCACCTCTGACATCCTGAGCAAACATGGAGGTGAATGAGCTGAAATGGTGGTGCTTAGCAGTGCTAGCTGTGCTAATGATGCTAACCGCACTGACAGAGCTAACAGTGGTAACCTGGGGGGAAACCTGACGTGGCTTCTGTGACTATTATCAGTGGTAACCGCCATATGACAAGGTGTAAAGTGGTGGCAATTAGCTAGCCGGTGGGACATGAAGGGGAGGACTCGCGTACACTGACATGCATGTGTGCGAACTGGATACAATGTTCATTCCTATGAAAGTCTCTAAGTGGCGTATGAAGCCAAAAAAGTTCGACTTCCATGTATCAACTTACCTTGATCTTCCACTCTGCTTCTGCACTGTGTGGACACTTTCACCAGCAGAGTGGCTAACTTATAATTTAGCCCTCAACTAACGTAAATGGTGATAAAAAAACTGAATCATGTGTCTCCTCTAGACTCTAGACTAAGTCAATGGGGGAAAGGTCTTGGCCCAGTGGCATCGTGACGAAACCTGCGGTTGTAATTAAACAGTCTTACAACTATGTCAACTTGGCTTCAAAGCCCAGCGCTGTTCTTGGGGGCTTGGCACAGCCGGCTTAGCTACAAAACAAAGAACAGAGGAGCTCGTATTAATACGCAGAGATGGTGTGACCTCATTCTCTACTCAGGATGCCATTACTCCACTGTATCTTTACTAGCAATAGTTTGCTGCTGTGTTACTATTCAGAACCTCATATATACAGTAGAACCTTTAAAATGTACAACAGTGCTTTAAACATAACATTACTGTGAGCAGTTGTGGTGCATAAAAGATCAGGAACAAGCATGCTGCAGACAGGTATGCAGAAGCTTCAATCAAACATTCATAGTTGCATACAGTGTGCTTGCATAGCTACTTGTCCTTTGCACCGTATAGGTAAGGGAAGTGGGTAAGATGAGAGGGAATTGTTCTGATTTCCTGTTTTCAGTGCAGAACTAGCAATCCTCCTGAGAGACCCGTTTTGTTTTTGACACAGTTCAGTGTTTCTGCCTAAAACACTGTCCTGCCAGGAGATTTAAGCTTTATGTGTGGTGATGCCAGTGATTTGAGCCTGTCACAAGATGGTGTACTGATTAAAATTCATAGTACTACTGTTTAAAAGAAACATGTGTCCTACATTGCAGCTTGCCACGTTTTGTACCGTGCGGTTAGCACCGGCTCGAGTGAAAGCTAGAAACCACAACCGCAGAGATACAGGTGTGCAGAAGCCTGTGCACATCTTTTGACTTAGTGGGCTAAAGGGTAGTGTTGCAAGGCCTTATCTGTCGTCCAGCACAACAAGGCCCTGTCGCCATAACACTGCACACTGTATGTACAGTACAATGGTTAAAAAAAAAACACAACCCTAACCCAACACTCATATGCTAAATACTGCAAAAAACCATTAAGTGACTGAGCATTTCCTCTTGTGAGTACAAAGTAACATTGAACATTAAGTGTTTCCATTTAACACACTGAAAACCACACACACACAAAAACTGATCAACCCTGTTCATGTCTTTAAAAACATACTCATGCATATTTTGGTTATTAGTGTGAATACAAAACTACATAGTGACTTACAGATACAAAAATCACAGACACAGAAATAAACAAAGAACAAAAGGTGGATGTACAACATTTAACAATGCAAAAAACAAAGCCACACAAACAAGAATGAACGTATAACAGTAGTAATAATGGTCATAATAATTAGTAGTAGCAGCACGCCAAACAGTTGACAATGTATGAGAGAAAATAAATAAGTAGAATAAACTAGAATCACCACTTTGCGGTAGTATGCCTCCGCAAACCAGTCAAGCTGTACCCAGCAGCATAGGAGCTCTGTACAATCAGCACAGTTTTAAAGTGGACACCCAAGATTAGTGTCACCAGTTTGGTATCTGAACAAACGTCTCTTCTGTTCCTGAGTTATGATGTTGCATAATGGCCAGAAAAGTGTTTCTGCAAAACATTATGATGTTGCACTGCAGCTGACCTTTGACCTTTTGGATATAAAATGTCACTTCCTCATGTTAACCTATCAGAAATTTGATGGAACTTTTGTCATAATTAACATATAAATTCTTAAGTTATGGCCAAAAACGCTTTGTGAGGTCACAGTGACCTTGACCTTCAACCACTGAATTGTAATTAGTTCATTGTTGAGTCCAAGTGGGTGTTTGTGCCAAATTTGAAGAAATCACCTCGAGGGTTTTTTGAAATATCACGTTCACAAGAATGAGACAAACATAACGTGTGGGACTATGGATAGACAACCCTAAAACATAACCTGCTACGGCTATCACAGAGGCATAATAAAAATGTCAGGGGAGGATGGGGGTCCTTGAAAGCAACACTGACAGTGGCATGTCTGGAGAGAACATAGCGCCCTCAGTGGGCCATCTAAGTCTGAGCTCCATGACATAATAGATGGTTTCTCCTGCTTTTTCAAATGTTGCATTCAAAATATTTTAACTGATATTGGGCGCATACCAAGTCCTGAGGAGGTGGCCAGCCTGTTTTGTTGGACTGGATCCCTCTGGAGCAGCCCCCAGGCCCTCAGGAGGGGACCTGCTTTGTGAGAATTGCTAAGTACTGCAAATTCAAACATGGTTTAAATAAGAGTGGTCCAGTCCTCTGCCATCCTGTCCACACTGCCCCTGCCACCTGCAGGTGCCAGCAGCTATGGCAGAAGTGTCCATCCATGAAGGTATAGTTTTAAGGAGAAAGAATAAATGAGGGGAAAACAATAAATAAATAATAATAATAAATAAAAAAAAAATAAATAAATAAGAGGAAGGAAAAATTAAAAAAAATATATATATATATATTACTAAATATATCAAGAGCAAGGGTGTGGGTACAAGAGCGTAAAAGACAAAAATTAAAGTTATGCAGAGTTAGGCTTGTGTGTGGGAGTGTATTAATAACGTGTGTGCATAGCTATGCTTATTTTAAAATAGTGTAATAAGTAAGAAAGGTCCGGCAGTAAGTACGGTAAATGGTGAGTATAAATATGAATATAATATACTAATAATAACAGCAATAATAACCTGACGGAAAATAGTTGCTGAGCGTTATCAGATAAGTACTGCAGTGTGTGGGTCTGAGCTATCATACCTGTCACTATCTGACAAAAAGCCACAGGTTTTCACTGATTCCACTGATTTCCATAAGATTCAGTTAAAGCTTTACATCTCAGCCCTGGCTCCTTCTCAGGTAGTTCATTTCATGGAAACACGAGTTGTCTGTCTAACTGAAACAGATCAAACCCACCAAATGTGGTTGGTTTGATTAGAAATGCTCTGTATAAGTTGACACATGAGGTGTGCATGTTTTTCTTGTGGTACACGATTACGATATACAGGTAGGGACTTGGAGCTATGAGGTCCAGGAAGTGGTAATAATTTTATCACTATCTGACATAGTCATCAGTCACCATATTACTACAATAGCAGTTTGAACAAAATGAAAAGCACATTGTAGCACCAACTGTTGAAAAATAACCATTTTTTGCTTCACATGTTAAATTGAGTCTGTGGTTTTCACAGTTCTCTCACATGATTCCTCAGAGCCGAGGAGAAAAGTTTCAGTGCAGCAGTCTTTATTTTCATTTCAACAAAGGGAAACCACCATCAAACACACTCACTCATCTGTGTCTTTACCTACAGCGTACTACTCTCAGTCAACATGACTTGTGTCAGCGGTGAGTACCTTATCAGTTTAACTGAGATACTTAAAAGGTTATTGTGTATGCTGTGGTGAATGAATGCATATTAAAGAATAATTTTGATTAAAAACTTAAGCTCAGGTAACGATTAAAAGTTTATCATAGTAATGTTGAAATCAACGCTGAAAGAGGTAACCTAAATTCTTAGCTGTATAAACATTTCTGGTATCAAATTAATCAGTTATTGTGTCTACCAAGGCGCATATGTATATTTATGCATGCATACAGACTTTTTATTTTATTCCTGTTGTTGGTTATTAGTGTTTTTTGAATATAATTATATATACATCTATTTTTTCTTCAAATACTTGAGTATATACTGTCATAGTCCTTCTATTCTTTAGCTATTTTTGGTCCAGTTAATGTCCTTGTTCTCAGCTGTTAAGTCAATTTGAGTCTAAGTTCATTGAGAGCAATGAGAAAAAAATGAGTGTGAATGAAGTACAGTCAAGCTGATTCTGACCTGCTTTAACAACTACATTCAACATGGCAACTTGTAAAAATGATTTAAAGCAGTGTCAGTGCTGTATATGTTTCATCCTCTTTGATAGCAGCAATGACTAACATCTCTCATGTCAGAACACGTAATTAGGAGTTTTACCAACATCAGGTTATCTGACTTATGCTGCAGTCTGTATTGTCAATTATGTAACAGTAACTGCACACTTTATGAATAATGAGTAGTACTAACAGTCTTTATAAAAATATGGAACTAAGTCCTTTTTTTTTTCCAATGAGCTAGTTTAAAACCACATCACCACTGGTTGCACAGGAAGCCTCTTACTTCCAACAATAAGTGTGTCATTGCCGCCAGTAATTTCTAAACACAATCAAAACGAGCACAAGATAGCATTTAAAGGGGAACTCCACCAAGACTCTACATAGAGGTGTGTTACTAATGATAACAGTAGTTTTTTGTGGTTTTGGAGGGGCTTTGTGAGGTCTACGAAAACAATATCAATAGATCATCTTTACACATGTATAAGTGAAAGTCTGGGTTAGTAAAGCTGTGGTTGGTTGTTCTTCTGCCTCCTCCTGTTGCTTCCAATGGCATTTGCTACAGTGGATCTTAGCAAATGTCATTAGGAGCAACCAGACTATCTGTCTCTTAAACGTCTGTGTGGATGTAGAGGCAATTTCTGCAAATATGACCCTAAACAAACATTCTTTTTAATAAAAGTTACCATAAAAAGTTACTGTATCTTTAACTTGGGGTTATGAAGTTTAAAAGATGTAGGCATGCACTAGGCAGATGTAGTGGTTAGAGTACTCGTCTTCCATGCGGAAGACCTTCCAAGGTCCAGGGTTCGAATCCTGCTGGGGTTGATGTCAGCAAAGGCATGCAATTGAAGAGGTTCCCCCCACCGAATCAAACGGGATCAGATTCCTTAACAGGCTTCAGGATAAGAGAGTAACTCTGGAGTCTGAGCCAAGTCCTCAACAAGGGTGCGTCTCAAGCCCATTGTAGACGGGAGGTTCCAGACGTAAAGCAGATACAGGCATGCACCAGGCAGATAGCAGCTAATGAAAGACTGATTGCAATTTCAAGTTTAACCCATACTAATGAGTAAAATTCAGGATATTTTGACCTTTTGCTGCTTCAGTTTGACCCCTTTTTCTGTAAATCTTTCTCTCATGTGTCCCTCAACCGATGGGATTGCGGTACACCTTTAACTGCTCATTCAACTACTCTCTAACATTGCACATAACGATCGTCCACAATGCTTATTAAGGATAGAGTCAATCATACTATTACAGTGCTTGATCTGATAGAAACGTACTCCATTTGTTTTTCAGATCTCCAAAAACTTCTGCCAGCTATACTGCTGATATGGGTGATGAATTTTAAGGTAAGAATGAAACACAACTGCAGCTCTTCTCTTATTAAAGTCGAAAACATGAAGGATAGGATGTTTGTAGCAATATGTACCCACTTAGAGCTTAAAGCAGCAGGTAACTAACCGCAACCTTCCACTCACAAGCACCGTTTCCTCTAAGGAAGTGGTTAGTAAAGGTCTAAAGCAGGTAGATTGTTTTTTCTCTGATTTACCTATGCAAAGTTGCTTTACTTGCCTGTATTTGATCATTTAATTTTATCTTTGATTACAGTCTTGCTTGACTCAAAATGACAACAATACAACCAGCAACCCCCACCTGGATTATAACCTGTCCTACATGAACTACCCTTATGAGGGTAACATGTCTGATTGGAATTATGATGACTTTCCTGAGGTCTGTGTGAAAGAATCCAACCGCCAGTTCCGCCGCTGGTTCATGCCTACCTTCTACACCATCATCTGCTTCCTGGGGCTGACAGGGAACCTCCTGGTCATCCTCACCTTCTTCTACTTCAAGCGTCTTAAAACCATGACGGACGTGTACCTGCTCAACCTGTCCTTTGCAGACCTGCTCTTTGCTCTGTCACTTCCCTTTTGGGCAGCCAACTCCATGACAGAATGGATACTGGGCCTGCTGGTGTGTAAAGCCATGCACACCATTTACAAGGTCAGCTTCTACAGCAGCATGTTCATTCTCTCCTTCATCAGCGTGGAACGCTACTTCGTCATCGCCAAGGCTGTCTCCGCTCACCGCTACCGCTCCCAAGCAGTGTTTCTGGGCAAAGTGTCATCAGCTGCCATCTGGGTGATGGCACTGATCTTCTCCATACCAGAAATGAAGTACACCACAATCAACAACCACACCTGCACCCCGTACTCCAGCAATGCTGACAAGCTCCGTGTCAGCATGCAGGCAAGCCAGATTGTTTTGGCTTTTGCCCTCCCGCTCTTGGTCATGAGCATCTGCTACAGCAGCATTGTCCAGACCCTCTGCCAGGCTCGTGGCTTTGAACGAAATAAGGCCATCAAGGTGATTCTCGCTGTGGTAGCTGTCTTCCTGGTCTGCCAAGTGCCTTATAACCTGGTCTTATTTGTGAGCACAGTTGTCACAGCACAAGGAGGAACTCTAGACTGCAACTTCGAGAACAGACTCCTCTATGCCACCGATGTCACCCAATGCGTGGCCTTCCTGAGGTGCTGCCTGAACCCCTTCGTCTATGCCTTCATCGGTGTGAAGTTTCGTCATGACCTCCTGAAGCTACTGAAGGACTTGGGTTGCATGAGCCAGGAGAGGTTCTTCAAGTATACCTGCGGCAGGAGGAGGAGCTCAGGCGCCACCGACACAGAGACCACCACCACATTCTCTCCTTAAAGTTGTTTCAGAGTGGACAATCTGCTATTCGCACCTGCAGGCCACACAGTGGACTGTTGAACATTAAGACAAAAGTCTTTAAAAAAACAAACAAACATGTACATAGCAGAGGTTATCATTTTTTGCTGTTTTTTTGGTCTCTCTTTTGTTTAAAGATGATTTTTTTAACCTTTTTTGCCTTTATTGGATTGGATTGAAAGTGAGGAGAGAGATGGAACAACATGCAGCAAAGGGCTGCAGACTCAAACTTCAGGACCCATGTAGGACTCAGCATACATGGGGTGCACGCTCTACCAGGTGAGCTGCTGGGGCATCCTATTGTCAGTTATGACCTAAAAGAACATGCAAAACAGTTGAACAGTTGAATCCCCCCCAATAAAACATGAAGGTAGCAAAGGACTTTTAAATCACAAATTGACACAGAAAGGGCACAAATTGGCGCATAAAAGTCACCAGAGAACAGGAAACCAAATGTTTGATGCTCAAAATCCATTTCACATGTGCCCCTCCCCTAATGTTGAAACAAAACCTACGCCCTTGATTGAATGCATATATCCCTCAACCACAGCCATCATTTCAGCCCTTCTCTTTCACCCCTTAAACGCAAGACAGAAACTGGTACTTCCACTCATTGTCTCTGGTTGTGCTGTAAGCTGCAAAGGTACTGGTGGTCTAATATGCTGTCTACAATACAAAAACTATAAGGTTTGGAATTGGAGATGGACCCATTGTCCCTCATCCTGGGTCTCCCAGGCAGACATGTAACGACAAAAAACAAGACTGGACTGTTTTCTTACTCAGACTGTGATGAAGAATGGATTAATGGATTAATGAGAAAGTACTAGCTGTTAAATAGAGTGCCGTTCGATTTTGTGCCATGAAAATACATTAAATGAATACTAAATTCAAAAACAGACCAATTATATATGATTTGGGAACCCTACCTGAACTAAGCAGAGCCTGGGGTCTCTGCCATAATGCTGCAGGGATTTTCTTGATTGTACTTGTTGCACATTATCATTGTAATCTGGTGCTGCGTGTTTGAATCTGAGCTGGTGTTTTTGGTTTGTTTCTATTGTTAAGTCTTTTGTTTTTTTTACCTCTTTCTGTGGACTTCATATGTATCCATCTTCTATACTTGCTATAAAAGTTTAAAAAACTAATAAATATTTTATAAAGAAAAAAAAAAAAAAGGAGGCCAAACAGGTCTTTTTTGTTTTTTTTTTTGCTACAGCGTAATAGAAAAAAAAAACTACAGCTCTTTACTCAACCATTTGAAGAGCATTAAATCACATACATTAGACTAATTAAACAAACCCAGTCTCTTATTTATATTTTAAGATATTTACAATATTAAAGAAGGTTAAATTGACCGAAACATGACTTCAGATGTACAACAACATTAAAAGCTGCATTAATAGAATTAATGTGGATTAAAAACATACTTACCTAAGTGGGACATGAGGAAGTGCTACCAGCCATACGCTATATATATATATATATATATGTGTGTGTGTGTGTGTGTGTGTGTGTGTATATATCATAAGAAAAACACAGAGAGATAATTCATTTCAGACATAAACCCTGTGAGGAAATTATTTAAAATCTGAAAGCTATAGATTAAATCCTAACTGTGACTGAAAGCCAGTGATGTGATGTGTGGACTGGAGGAATTGTTGAGTTGAGTTTTAGTCAGTAATCTAGCCACAGAATTTTGCAGAAATTCTATTTGAGTTAAATTCTTGATTTGAAAGTCTTTAACTTTAGACAGTACATTACCTTTACAGCAGTGAGGTGAAGTGCTAACAGAGTCGTGGTAAGTTATGTTAAAGCCTGCTATGACTATGATTAATTACTGTAATTAAAAATAACTGGATTAAAATACAGGTACTAGCAAGATGCTAGATTACATTTCATTACATATTAAAGACAAGAGGAGACAAAATTATGGATTTTGAGTGGGAAGGATATGCTTTATATAAAGTAATAATTACTGACTAAATATGTTTGTTAAAGTTTAGCTGGGCATTATAATCAAGGATAATAACCTTGGTTTGTAGAGGCTTAATAGACAAGAAACCAGAGTGGTGGCAAATAATTTCAGTTTTGTTGAGATTTAATTGCAGAAAGCTTCTATATACTAATGTAAACATTTATAGTTGAGCCTTATTAGAATGACACAGCCACAGATGGTGTTCCCAACAGAAATTATTTATAGGGAAAATCATGATGGTACATGAATTGATTCTGGAGGAAGCAGAGTGACACACCCTTTCAGCAGAAGTTACAGATCAGGGTTGTAAATACCTATTTAGCTCTGGCAGAGACCATTTTCAATCGACACTTCCTGCGATCCAGCCCTCCAGTGGGGTCTGGGTGGGATCTCCCCTGGAGAAACTTTTAGAAACTTAACGGCTAAACTGACTATTTTAGAGCATTTTGACACAAATATCTTAGATCAGGGGTTCTGATGGCTGAGAGCCATTTTAGGGAGCCGGCCACTGTGATTTTATTTATGACTTCTTAAAATGAAATATCAAACTATGCCTCTTTTTTTATAATATACTAACACTTAACAAAAACTAAAACAATTGACAGTGATACGGCCCACACAACTCACATTACATTCTAGTTTTCCACATTTTAATACATTTTAAAGTAATTACATAGAGATGGTACACCGTTTGACATTGATTGTTCCTACCCACAGCAGTCGTGCAGCAACTTCAGCTGGGGTACGGCAACACCACTTGAACAAACCGCACACAGAACTGCAGTGCACAGTTATACTAGAATCAGTAGTAATAAAAATGGCAATTTGTAAAGGTATACATACAAATCCAAGTCAAAAGCTGCATTTAAATTGGAGGCATTGCCTTACAACATACAAATCAGAATCAGAGAGCTGTCTCTGAGCTACGCTGCTTCAAGACACAAGGCTAAAAATGTCAAAAATCTCCCTATATTACACTGCACTGTTAGAATCAACAAGTAAAATCTATTGAAATATATTGAAGGTAAGTTAAGGATTGCTCAACAGAAAAAAGGGGAATATCATCACATTAATAAGCTGGGCCAGAGATGTTAATGGTTTCCTTTACAGGATCAGAAATGTAATATGTCAAGTGGACACTAGGATCAACGTGTCAGTTTGGTCAGTTACAGACAAATGGGCATTCATCTGTCAAGTTAATCAAGCTAAAATGGTGCGACCGAAGTCCTGACTGCGTTAATATTCTAAAAAAAGATAATTAAAAAAAAAAAGAGTGGGAAAATGACGGGGGTGTTAATCTTAAAAGCAGTGATTAACATCATTAAGAAGAAACACATGCGTAATTTTGCTTCCAAGAAATGAAACAAACCTGACTTCCAATTAACTTTTTTTTAGAAGAGTACAGCCCTGTGTTAGCCCTCAGGCTATAAACCTTACACTGCTGAGATGACGTCATCAGTGGGAACCGCATGGAAAAGTGATCCTCACTGCTGATAGGCTGACAGGAAAAGGGCAGGGATTTCATTAATAAAAGCAGGCAGCATGAGTAATGTCACAGTAAAAGAGTGAAGAGGCTGAGAGTTAAACAACGTTACAGCCACTGAATCTTGACCAGAGGAAAATAAGGTAGGTGACCTCTCTTTGCCTTAACTTAAGATATATAATCAGTCGCAGTAAAAATATGTATGGTCAGTCAGTGTATCAGCAGCTTTGAATACATATATCTGCATTATTTTATTTTTATTAGATTGCTCCCTGTTCATGATTTATGTGGTGTTATTATTATGATTATTATTATTATTATTAGTGCTGCAGCAGGTCTTAGCAGGGACATAAAAAGCTACTTCAGAGTAGATTATGATGTCCATATGTATGGACATATGGACATCATAATCTACTCTGAAGTAGATTATGATGTCCATATGTCCATATGTATGCTTGCATTTACTAAATCGACAAATGCTGAATAGTCAAAAAATGCATGGCACCTCGTACGCCGGTGTTACTTCATGGCACATTATTTTCAGTTTTGTGAACCTGAGCAGGTGCTTCTCAAAAGCAAAAAAAACATTCTTAATTATCTAAATTTTTCCAAACAGAAAGAGCAGATTTTGTGTGTAGGCTACTTTAGAAAATGTTTTGGCTGTTGTAGAAAAACACTAATGTAGTCATGGTAACCACCAGTCCACCAGGTGACTCACTGGGCACCACTCCTCGTCTGAAACACGGACAGGGAGACACAGTGTGAGCACCCCCCAAATGACACACCCTTCCTGAGCAGCTATTCATGCTGATATCAGCACTGGAGTAAGCCATTTACTCAGCTTGCGTCAATATTCATCAGGAACATGGGGGAAGCCTTAATGTACTGACTTATGCACTATCGGACACTTACTGATTACCAACGTTCAAGTGTTATATTGCTTAAGTCAATTGAATGAACTAACCAAACCTTTACTATTAAAATCTACTGAAGTAAAAGTCCTGCATTCAGAACCTTACTTAAGTAACTTAACTTTAATAAAGTATATAAAATTAAATTAAATTAAAAGTAGAAGTAAGTATTATCAACAAAATGCGCTTCAAATTGTTAAAATAAAAGTACTGGATGTACAGTAAAATGTTCCCTCTATTACTGCTCTGTAGTGTGTACATTGCATTTTACTGCTGTTGATGTTCAAGGTTGTGATACCTTTAACCCCCTTTACATACTATTGAGTAGTTTAATCTACAGCAATGCATTATATTCTATACAAACATCATATGTTTGTAGCGTCGCTGTCCTGTGAGAACCATTCATCACAAAAAAAGTCAATTTTTTATGAGCTTTGTGATGATGCATTTTCCAGCTGATCCAAGAGGGTTTTTAAAGAGTTAATTTCTCTTAAGAAGTAGGAGATTCTTTCAACACATAAAGGATCAGTTTATCTCAAACATTTACCATCAACACATCTGGACAAACATGGCTCTCACTGGACAGGAAGGGGATAAAAAACTGTAAACTGAAAGTAACAAAAGCTGTCAGGCCACAGACATGTAGTGCAGTAAAAAGTACAATATTTCCATCTGAGATGAAGCAGAGTAGAGGTATAAAGCAGCATAAAATGGAAGTACTTATGTAGAGCACAAGTACAACACTTGAGCAAATGTGCTTGGTTATATTCGACCACTGAATCACCAAAGGTACCAATAAAAAACTTTAGATATACGTATTTATGTATGCTGCATAACCGTGTTCAAAATGCACTTCATTTCTTGTGAATATGAGGATCTGGGAAAAACTTATGATGGATCTGTTTTGCAAAGAAAGGACAAAAGCAAGGCTATAATTACAGTAAGGACAGTGTAACCGATCTCTCTCCATTGTATCTCTGTCGGCAGTAATCCCAGAAGACTGCGAGCTCTCCTAACATGATGCCTGCAGCTAAAGGCATGTCCCAAATGATACCCAAACATGTCCTGAGAGTGGGTCAGACTATCCGCCTGGACTCAGCGCAGCAGACAGTCAAACAACATCCCACTGTCACGGAGCCCAGCAGTAACCATGGCGACCCTGAGCTTGATATTTCCTTGGATAGTCTCAACCAGCTCATCCTGGAAATGGATCCGACATTCACACCCATTGAGGTCAACAAAAGTCCCATGTGCATCAGCCCTCCGACAGGTACGACTGTAAAGCCACTTTCTTTTCTACATTATTCAAACTCTTTCTCTTTCTTACTTCTTATTTGTACATCATTATGCAGCGGATACATTAAAACTGCAAATACAAAAAACACAGCAATGTCTCGGTAAAAAATTTGTCTTGAACAGTGGTCTGTAGTGGTCTGCAGATTGGCAGGCATCTCACCTAGGTGTTACGCCATTCGCCATCACCTCCACTCATATACCATGAGAGTTAGAAATACTGATGATACATAAGAAACATGCAAATGTAATGTTTGTTATTGCAGAATCGTACCATGCCCACATTTTCTTCTGGCGACTGGGCTGCAGTGCAACACACTGCAAGGGTGTGACACAGAGCACAGTAAAACTAGTCACCCCATAAAACAAATAGTACACACAGCCTGGGACTTTGGAAATTTACCCGCCCTTTTTGAGATAGTTAAATCTGTTTTTTCATCATGGGATAATTGCACCATTTCAGTTGTTCTGGGATGACTGCCAACACCAGTACCACACCCTGCACATGTAAGGCTACAGACGCAGAGAAGCTCACTGAAGTAGACACACATGAGGGTGGTACATGGGTGTCTTCACTCACATTGCTCTGATCAGAATGTGTGCACAAGAGTCAGCAAAGCATATAAATGGATTTCCTGTTGCTCATCTTCACTTGAGAGATGTTTAGTGGTATATATATGAAACAGAGAGCCGAGTGCGTTGAAGGAAATCAAGCATCAGTGATGAGAAATCAAGGTAAAGTTCATTTCATCAGGCAAAACAGCAAAAGGTAAAATTCATGCGCTCTCTTGATGACTCCTCACCTATTGTTACAAAACACATTATTTCCCCTTGAAACAACACTCACCACAGCACCTGTCCACAGTCATGGACACATTTTGCTATTTCTGTTTCAACATTAGTCATTATTATGTAACTTGGGTTGCAGACGGCACCTGGCACACGTTGACCACAGGCTACAACAGTACCCTGGGGAAATGAATTCACTCAGTTACCATCAACACAGTGAGGCAGACAGATTCTTAAGCACACAAAGAACAAGTTGGGACTCCGCTCGCTGATTTGGTATCATCGCAACAGCAGAAATAGACAATTCAAAGCATCTAGTTTGGAAGGAATGACCTGAGCTGTGCAAGCAAGTACCTGCATGAGAAATATCAATGTCTATCAGGTGAGCTTTAGAAATGGTGTTTACATACGCAGGCCAAGCCCTTTTAACTAACAGAAAACCACAGCCCAAAGTCAGAGAAATCATGGAGCACAGAGGGTTTTTCCACTGACGGTTTCATGACATTTTATCGACTGTTTTCGGTGCCTTTGCTCACACTTTCCTCTCTGTTCTCAGAAGACTCAGATGAAGATGTCTCCCAGTGCGAAATGGTCCCCAGAGGATGTTCTCCTTGCTCCCTGCCCACCGTGGTCCCAGCTGTGTCACCCAGTATACCCATCCCTACATACAGCAGCTGCAGTCCTCACGGCACACTGGTGTTCTCCAGCTCCCCTACATCTTCCCTGCCTCCGCTGCCATTTGGCAGTGCACCCCGACGACATGCGTCACCGAAGCTCGATGCCACCTTTTCCCAAGGACCCACGCGCTTGTCACGCTCAAACAGAAATAGCGCTATCTCGCTTATCTCCACATCAACATGCTCAGACACAAGCTACATCCTTGGCAGGTAAAGCTCACAATCAAAGCAAGGCCTGCAACTAGACAAGTCTAGAACATGCATCTTTTAAATATGCTGTAAAATTTTAACTGTGCTGAAGTGAACTTGTTCTTGTTCGTGTTTGTGCAGTTTAACTAAAGTTTTATATCAGTAATAATAGTACTAAATTTTAACCCTGTCTAATTTAATTCTCATGATACAAATGAAAGGACTGTGAGGGCCTTTTATGCTTTAAAGATCATATTCCTCCTGGAACATGTCCAGTTGTGTTTAGAGGCTCTTATTGGTAATAAGAATAATGGTGAATACAGGTGTTCCAGCAAAGACAGTATGAGGAAAATAAAGTATTTTCTGACCATTAAAGCCTTTACACATTTTCCAATATAAACCTTAAATACAAGTATGAACCTAAAATTAAGCATAACAGGTCCTCTTTAAAGTTCATATTTACTGATACAGCATATTGATCTGTTCATTGTATATATCCTCTCTCTCCCTGTATAGCAACCTGTCCCTGGCCAGTGAAGATGCCGACTCCCCAGAGTCCATCCTAACTAGCACGTCCATCTCCTTCAGTGACGGCTCCAGAACAGCGCCGGTTGATAACAGGCACAGCCCAGACAAGCCCCCTCTGTTAAGGCGAGGACGGGAGCTTCACAGCAAAGGAGCGCAGAGCAGTCCGGCTTCACTCTCTAGTTCTTGGAGCGATATTCCTGTACTGCTTGTCAATGGCGCACCACAGCCAGATCTGTACATCCAGGCTCCTGGATCAGAAACTGACCTGATGCAGAACCTCCTTTTGCCCAACTCAAAGCCATTGTCTCCTCACAGTGAGTGGCACATCTCATAGTAGTCTGTTTTGCTGGCAGCTTCCATATTTCAAACAGTATTTGACCCCACTGTCGTGTTTTTATGGGTGTTCAGGTTTCCAAGCCCGTTTTTATGGCAGCCAGCCCTCGATGAAGTTTGTCATGGACACTTCACAGTTTTGGTTCCGTCCGCATATCAACAGAGCAGAAGGTGAGAATCTCAAACAACACACTCAACGAAACATAACTACTTTACTCAAGTTATTTCATCTTGCACCATCTAGTGTTTTCTTTTCATCCTGGATGTAGGTCTCTGCTGCAGTGCAGATACAGAAATACAAACACATTTGCAACTTCCTCTAAGCATTTGCTGTTTCATTCATTCTAGCTGAAGCCCTGGTGAAGGACAGAGAAGCAGGAACATTTGTGGTGAGAGACAGCACCTCCTACAGAGGCAGCTTTGGCCTGGCTATGAAGGTGGACCAATCGGTCGCCAACTTCACTTCCACCGCCTACCCAGGTAAACTTTTACTAGTCAGGGCAGCGGCTTGTCTGCTTTTAAGTCATGTGCTGTCACAAAAGTCACAGCATTGTGTTTGGTCAGATGCAGAAAAGAAAAGCTCATGAATGCCACAGCCACCACAATTACAAACAAACAATGTGAGCACAGTTTTGCACAGGGCGGCTGTCGTCATTTGTCTATAACTAGAGAACTGAAAGGCACACAGAGTCACTTACCCAACTCCGCTGATGTGAATGGGCATGTCTGATGATATCCAGCTCTATTTGCGGCCAGGCAGGAGACAGTGCTGTTATTTTTTCCACCCACACTATACGCTGCGTAAACACAAAAGAAAACCAGCTGTTTATGGCAGTGTAAGCAATCCGAGAGGAAAAAACGGACCTCACTCACGAAACAATTTTGAGGCTTATTTCATTTGCAGATTTGTATTTTTTTACTTTTTCTTTTTGGGAATGCAGGATATGAAAGACATGTGAGCACTGTGTCGGGCGCTGAGACTATTTCAGTGAGCAGACTCAGAGCACATCGATATTCCTCTGCTGAATTATCTCTCGATCAATTAGAGACTGTAATCATCCTTGGTTTTGGGATGTCAGTACAAGGTTTTTGCTTTCTGACATCAATGTTATTTTGAGAAACAACTTACACAAATATAGTCAAACAAAATTATTTTATAAGGTTATATAAGACAAGATTTATAAGGGACCTTGAAAGAAGGCGATCTGAAATAAGTCAAAGTTTGCTGCTTAAATTACATTCAAATGAAAGATTATATGTTGGCTTGGCATCACGTGGAGCAGGAAACTAAAGATAAATAAATAAAAATAAGTAAGATAATAAAGGATCAGTCATGCGGCACATAAATAACTGCCAGTGCCATCACTTTTATCAATATCATATATTGTACATTTACTTCACTGACTGCACCTAACTTTTATTTTCTCCCTGACATTTGTCCTTTCATCAAAACAGGAGACAGCAATTCAGATCTTGTCAGACACTTCCTTATTGAATCATCAGCAAAGGGCGTACGCATCAAAGGCTCTTCTCAGGAACCATACTTTGGTAAGTTAACAGCCCGCAGAGATACTTAGTTCCTTATCAAGAAGTGATTAATTTCCTTAAAACTCACTCAAAATGCAATTGTCTACTCAGTATGAGCACATCCTGGTCTGGCTCATGATGCCACACCAAAATTGACTCAGCCATGTCTGGCCTTTTAAGATGTGGGTGGGTAGCAGTGGGTGGATCTGAATCTTTTTTTTCCAAAGGTATGAGTTCACAGGGTGTGTTCTCACGTCCACGGACCCATTATTAATGTCTATTCTGGGGCTCTTTCTTTCTTTCTGTCTTATCAGCTTACATAGAATTCTATCTTATGAATCTATCTCTGTAAAATCCCCACAGCAGAAAAAAAAGCCCATTTCAGTTTCACCTTACACTCAATCATCAAAACTAGATTTGATCCTGGAATGAGCCAAAAAATTAAATTTAAGAAAACAACACTGCAATCACCCCCCTTTTACACTTTAAAATAATATCAGTGAGACATTTACATTTTTATTACTTTTTATGGTCCAGAATGAGACGGTACTTGTACTTCACCATTGTTTTATTGTGTTATCTTTACAGGTAGTCTTTCTGCCCTGGTCTACCAGCACACTATCTCTGCTTACGCACTACCCTGCAAATTACTGCTCCAATCCCAAGGTAAGCCACTACTGCAGGACATTGTGTGTGTGTGTGTGTGTGTGTGTGTGTGTGTGTGTGTGTGTGTGTGTGTGTGTGTGTGTGTGTGTAAGAAGGTATAAGATGGAAACCTAATCTCTTATTTGCCTACACAGTTTTGGGCGCAACAGAACAAGAGCGGGCTAATGACAAACCAGCATCAGAGGACAACAACAAAACAGGTGGGACACAACAACAGTAAAGAATATAAACTCAATTAACCTTAACTTGACATGCTTGATTAGCAAGTAATGTTAAAGTCCAGGGTTTTTGAATTTATCAGTGACGGGAATAGGAGCCACATGCACATTTCACTTTCCCAAACAATAAGACACAGAAGTAGAAGAAGAGTAAATCCTTATCACTTCACATTTTCACTTATCATAGCAGGAAGAGCGCACACACAGGTGTAACTGATAACCTTAATTAATGAAGGCTGCCTTCCATTTAGCAGTGTCAGGAGCGGGGTCTTGTTGTTATGTATAGTGCGGCTTACCCAGACTCTTGAATGGAATGGAGAAATGGCTGATTAGTGGTATTGATTACACCTGAGGGGTAAGATGGGGCACCACCTCCTTAATTCCTCTCCTAACCAATATATGGCACTGACTACTCTCAACACATGTATCGAGTGGCTGTGCGATAATGCATGGAGACATTAAATCTGAATCGCTGCATTCTTGCTGCATAGTAATCATTAGTATCTATCTAGAATTAGCCAATAATTTTAGCAAGCTTTCTGGAGGAAGACATCCTGAGATTAAAACAATTAGCCAGAAGGAAAGACTACAAGGCTTCTAGACAGACAATCCATTTGTTGTATTTAATTATATAGCTTGTTTTGCAGCTTGCTCCCAATAGTGGAGCAAGTTGACCCTTTACAAGACTTCCACTTTTGTGCTGTAACAACAAGATTGGCTACTGTACCAATTCATTTTTCCCAACAGTGTGCTGGTTTATGCATCATCATCCTGCACATGCTAAAATCATATCCATTTTTTATTTAAATTTTACGGTAAATTGACTTCTCTCGAGGGATATCTTCCCCCATCTTACTTGTGAATAATATCTATTTGATTCTTATATGTGAATATGTTTTCTTCCTTCTACTACTCCGTTTTATATCTAAAAAATAATCATACCCACAGCTAAGCAATGCCAAATGAGAGTCAGTGCTTTGTACTGATTATCTGGAGGACTGTGATTTGTTGTAGGCAGCAGGTTCAGTGCTGCTGAGGATACTCAACAAGTTACTCTAGCGCAATTAATTTTTTAACAATAATAAGTGACAACAGGTTTAGACTTGTTTATTTAATCATTTTCAGGGCTTGGGCTGGACATGTTACCGCAGGCCAGCTACTTTATATCATGTACATTAATCTGTGTGTTTTCATTTATTGTGCAATAAGAGTCTGCTCACAGTCACTTTGTTGGCATGTGTGAGCTGTGATGAGTAACGTTCGCCAGCTTGGTCAGCACAGTAGCCTACCTGGATTGCGACATCGGCTGATGTCACATGAGCACACCTAAGTTAGAGTTCTTCAGCGGTTTATCCAGGGTTTTCTCTTCAAGTCGCCCTCCTCTGACAACTAACTTAACTAGTTAACTAACTTAACTCAGAAATATTATCTGTGGAAATATATCAATTTTCATGGTGCTTTGTTTGTTACGACGACTGTTTATGTCGGTTAATTAACGGTTAATGTAATTAGCGAGTGGAAAGTAGGACGCCTGTGAAGCGGAGTGATACATACATAGTTAAAGGTGCCAGTGACGTTGTTTTATATCTGTCCAATCAAATTACTTTGTCGGAACTAACCGCTGTGTAATAACAATAGCTTTAAACTAAAGGGCCTGGAAGATGGATGAAAGTAATTAGATGTAATTGTGGTTAATCTATCAAGTGAAAGAGGTATTCAGTATTTAAGGTATAAAAAATACTCTACCACAACTAAGTCCTACAGTTAAGTAGAGGTAAATAAGTATTATCAGTAACGTGTACTTAAAGTACTCATTAAGCAAAAGAATTTCACCTGTCTGCTGTATTTTATTAGCATTGTATGTAGTATTTTATGTTGAGGTGAGGCTAATACTTTACATGCAGTTAAGTAGTTTATTTTGAAAACTGATAAATTGTATTTATTGATGTGAAAGTAGCCTGTATTTTGTATGTAACACCTGCAAAGTAACTAGTAATTGAGTAGTAGTATAGTACAAGTACTGCGTAACTGTATTTAAGAACAGTACTTGAGTACTTAGTTACTTTCCACCACTGCCAACTGAACAGCCATCCAAGTACTTCAACGTGTTGATCTAATTTTTATATATTTTCAATTATATCTAACATTTTTTTAAGAAAATACAAAGAAATTAAAAATATGATAATACATAAATAAAATATGATAATAATGAAATAGAAAAAATAGAAAAAATAAAATCTAAAAAGATATATAAAATGTAATAGTAATAATACCATAATAACATAATAAAAATACTAAAAAAAAAAAAAAAAAAATACGCACTGAGAGAAGAAAGTTTTGGTTAAGGTTTACTGTGTTTCCTGTAAGAAATAAATATACACTGAACAGAAATTTAAAAGCAAAACTTTTGTTTTTGCTCCTGTTTGTTACAGGTTTAAGTTAAAGATCTACGACTTTCTTCATGCACTCAATAGAGATATATATTCTCTCAAATTCTGGTCACAAATTTGTTCAAATCCATGTTAGTAAGCACTTATTGTCAAAGATAATCCATCCACCTGACAGGTGTGGCATATCAAGATGCTGATTAAACAGCATCATTACTACACAAGTGTGCCTTGGGATGGTCTCAATTAATTATTAAGTTTTAAGGGAGCGTGCCTTTGGCATGCTTGCTGCAGGAACGTCCATCAAAGCTGTTACCCATGAACTGAATGTTAATTTCACCACCATACACCATCTATAATGTCTTTTCTGTGAACTTGGCAGTACATCCAATCGGCCTCTGAGCTGCACAAGTCGGTTACGATGACAAACTGCTGTCAGGTCATGACCCTGGTGAGGACGACAAACAAGCAGATGAGCTTCACTGTCTGATGGTTTGTGCGGAAATTCTTCGGTTGTGCAAACCAGTTGTTGCATAAGCTGTTGGGGTGGCTGGCCTCAGGCGACCTCGCGAGTGAAGACCTTGGATGTGGCAGTCCTGGGCTGGTGTGGATACATGTGTCCTGCAGTTGTGAGGCCGGTTGGATGTACTGACAACTTCACGTGAATTACTTCAGAAACAGCGTATGGTAGTGAAATGAACATTAAGTTCACAGGCAACAACTCTGGTGGACATTCTTGCAGTCAGCCAATGGTACATCCTCTCAAAACTTGACATCTTTGGCACTGTGTTGTGTGATCAAACCGCACATTTTAGAGTGACATTTAATTGTGACCACCTCAAGGTACACTTGTGTAATATTGATGCTGTTAAATCATATTTGAAATGATCTATTTATGTCTATTTTTCCTATGAGAATGAAAAGCAGGGATGTGAATAACAATCCAGGATGGAGTTTCATTCATTTTCATGTGTCTGTGCATTCAACCTCTATTCCTAATCAAACTATCACAATATCTGCCTTCTCCATAGCTTCCAATTTTGTCTATCTGAACGCTGTCCCCACTGAGATGCTGACGGGCCCCTGTGCAGTGCAGAAGGCGGTGTCCTCCACATTTGAGAAGGCCTCGGGTTCATTCACACCAGCCATAGTCAACCTGAAGGTGTCTTCGAAGGGTGTCACGCTGACAGACATCAACAGGAAGTAAGAAGAGACACATCCCACATCCTGCCACTGAGATTTTTACTCACAGTACACCACAAAATCATGGTGTTTTGTGTGTGTGGTATTTTGTTAAGATTGATAATTTCTAACAGCCGTAATCATTTCTTCACAGGCTCTTCTTCAGACGCCATTATCCTGCTCACCTGCTCAGCTACGGTGGTGAAGATCCAGACAATCGACTGTGAGTGTGCAGCAACAAGCTCTGAAATCAAAAGGAATCATTTTCAGAATACTATATGCTTGTGGAAAAAATATTGCGTAACCTTTTTTTGAAGATGTTAATACTTACACGTGTGACTTTCCTGCTATGCGTCAAATACTAGTGAAAAAGTGCTTTCGTTTACACAGAATACCAAAGTAGACCACATCTATTAATATTCTTTTTTTTTTTACTCTTACAGGTGGGTGAGAGGTTCCAGTTTCGGTGCAAGGTAAGTTTGAAGTTGAATTGCTTACAAAATCAGAGAAGGGTTTTGTATTTACCTGTAAAAACCACTTCAACTTTGTATGAAAAAAATCAATCTAATGTAAAATTTCTTTGTCCCAACAGGATGTTTGGCTTCGTGGCAAAGGGTGTGGAGGCCGGCATGGAGAACGTATGCCACGTCTTTGCAGAATATGACCCCCTGCAGCCGTGCAACAAAGTCATCCAGGTCATTCAGGCTGCCATATCCAAGCCGTAGACACACAAGCACTGAGGCAACATAACACTACAAGCCACCTTAAGACCCTACATACACTGTCTGTCTTACACTGTATTTTCCTCATGTAACCTGACCAATATGCTGGACACTGTAAGTCATTACTGCTGTGGTTGAACTGGTAACTGTACCTGCCGGGTTACAAATCAGAAAAATCTGATTCATAAATGCTTGGGATGACCCAGACTCATACCGTGGTCATGTGATTAAAGTGATATTGAAAAGATAGGTTACTGTTGCACATATGAAGATACACAAGACTGAATCGCTGTCAAGCAAGAACATATCGAACAAAGAACCAGTAATTAAATGGCACTCTACTACTGTTAAAATATTTTCTATGCAGCTTGTAAAAATGTTAACACAAAGGCAACAATATTTTTGTAATACCTAATAAATTCAATGTAAAATGTTCTTGTAGAAAATGTTAGAAACCAGCACCTTACATAGGGCATGGAGCTGGATACTGACTTATTCCAATGTAAACTGATGTGTAAATTTGCACTATGCTTTTACATATAGTGATGGGGGGTTTTGAAGGTTCTGTTAACAGACTATAAGAAAAACAACTCTCATATTGTCCTTTCATTTCAAAGCCAAAACTCTGCATATACCCCAGTTGTATATTTCTGAATGTATTTATTATGCTGCGCTGTAAACATTTCTTCTCTGTATATTCGTGTTGTTATGACGAGAAATAAACATGCTGAACTGTTGAACTTGTGTCTGTGCATGCTCACAGATGTTTATGTCTGACGAAAAGAGATGGCGTGCGTCAAAGTGTGAAAAACACAGCTTTATCTTGTGATTTACCACATCATCAAAGCCTGTAAACATAAAGGAGGACACTGTGGTTAATCGCTTTATGTCCTCTAGTAAATCAGTGAAGATTTATGAAGATGTATGTCTGACAGAAAACACACAACAGTCTGCACATATTTATTTTTTTATTTGAAATGATAAATTGTTAGATAAAAGCATAATGCTTCATTCTGAAGTTACAGAGCTCCCAAAATGAAGTGTGCTTCATGAAGCAAAGCAAAATCAAGCACAGAACTGCATAGATAATATCTTTAAATATTCTCAATATATTCTGAGGCACCCAAATGCAATGCACAATGGTCCTTTTTCTTCTTATATATATATATTTTTAAATATCTTTGGTGCCAACTCAAAGTTTAGCATAAAAACTCTTAATCTAAGGTGTAACAGATAGCATGTGCTACACAACCCGGAGTTGAGCATTGAAGATACACTGCAGTGTTAACTATTTACAAATACTGCCCTCCTCTGGTTAAGACAGGGAATCTAAATTCTCTGAGACACATGGTGAGTGTTAAGAGCCTCACTGCCGTTGAGATTACAGTAAGCATTTTTTTTTACCTTATTTTTTGTGATAATGCATCATAAAATGTAGCTACATTATCACTTTGTGTTGCAAGATTTTTTTTTTCTCAACATAGAGAATGAACTGCAAAGACAAAAGACTTGCAAAGTACACACAATCTGGATTTCTCTCTCAGTGCTGATGTTCTTCTAAGTGCTGTAGGTGTCTGCAGTGCAAGCGTTTAGGGACTGTAGGGAAATTATAAGGGCCCCTCGACTAAGAAAAGAAGTGCAACGCCCCTCTCCACAAAATCTTAAAGTACTACAGCTCTATCGGTCTTTGTCAGCCACGTGTGTGTATCGTGTGTGATGTCCCTGATGCGCCACTTTGAAGGTATAGCTACAGCGAGCGGTACAGTAAACAACAAATAAGTTATCCAACCCATTAAATTATCAGACAGATGACGTGAAAGCAAACTTAGAGAATACCAGACCAAGACAAACTCAGTGTGGATGTCAGGAGCTGTTATTTGGCAAAACTGTTACCTATTAGCAACACCAATCCACATACCCCGACAGCAAAAAGTTGCTAACCCCACGTTGCTGCCTTTAACCTCATACTTGGATGATACAAACGATCTTGTTTACAGTATCATTGTGCATAACTGTGAGCAGTTCAGACACTATAAGTATGTTGAAGCTCATTGACCACCACCAATGGCCTCTTTACAACTGTACTTATTTCATATCATATAAAAATGATTGCCGAAAGTTATTTATACTACCACTATTTTGTATAACTAATGTCACTGAGGTCTTTTGCTAAATTAGGCATCACATTTCACTCAGTAGAACTTTGATTTTAAGGTCCAGTGTGTAGGATTTAGTGACATCTAGTGGTGAGGTTGCAAAACTGAAACTTCCCCTGTGTGCTAGTTATGTAGGAAAACTACTGTGTCCGATGTATCCATGCAAATGGCCCTATCTTGAGCTAGCATTTGGTTTGTCTGTTCTAGAACAACATAGTGAACTCTTTAGAAGACAACCTGCTCTATATGTAGATAAATGGCTCATTCTAAGTTAATGAAAACATGATTATTTTTTTCAGGTGATGATAAACTGATGAAAACATACAACAGGATATTATATTCTATTTCTGCCAGTAGATGCCCCTACATCCTAAAAAAAATTAAACTGTGTTGTTATGGCTGGCGAGCATTACCTGGGAAACATCATGTCTATTCAGCATGGAGGTAAAATTAATACCAAATTATATTAAGTGCTCACTGAATGAGTCAGTGTCTGTTTATAGGATGTAAGAAGTAATAAATTGTCTGTTAGAAGATGTTTACGATAAGCAATCAGTTACACTGGATAAAACAATATATTAACAGAATAAGCTTATCACTAACACCACTGGTTAGAAAGGAAAAAAATAAGGCTGTAACTAACTATTATTTTCATTGTTGATTAATTTGTTGAGTATTTTCTTGATTAAGTGTTTGGTTTATAAAATGTCAGAAAATGGTGAAAAATGTCTCAGACGATGTCCTACAATGTCTTGCCAACAATCCAGATACATTCAGTTAACTGTCATAGAGGAGTTACGAAACTATAAAATATTAATATTTATTTTCTTGTAAAATTACTCAAACCGTTTAATAGAATATCAAATTAGTTGGCAACTAATTTAATACTTGACAACTGATCAATTAATTGCTGCAGGTCTACAACCAGTGCTTTTAGACTGTGATAAAGTTACAATATAATTATTTAAGCAATGTCAAATTATTTAGTGCTATATATTTTAACATAAAAGCAAATGTAAATAAAAAAAAAACCAAAAAAAAAAACCCAGAATACCTCAAAAAAGGGCAATCAGACCCACAATGCACTTTGGTTTCAGCGAGTTCTATGTCATCTGTCAAAGACCAATTTAACTCTTACATCTCATTTTACAACCCTTTCTCATCCCAGGTCGTTAAATACCAATAAACTGTCACGCCCCTTTGGCGTCTAAGCCGCACAGGTTGCACAACTTAAACACATTATAACATGTGGTTAATGTTGTGAAATGGTTGCGGTTAGGTTTAGGCAACAACATCATGTGAGTTACGTCAGTGCACAATGAGCAGGCTTAAATTCCAAACGTTAGGTTAAACAACACGGACTTCTGGTTTCACACAGGACACGGACTGGTCTCCTGGATGAAAGTCCAGTTGTGTTTGACCTGACCACCTCACCTCTCTCTCACAGTACAATTTTTTGCTCTTCATACAATGTCAGTCGCTCTCTAAAGGAATTGTTGTGGATGGGTTTACATTTGAATCTGCTGAAAGCCTGGTAGCTGTGGCCTAATATCAACGCCACAGGTGCCTTTGGCGTCGATATCACACGCTGAGGGGTGTGACAAAGCGGTGATATGTGATGCCCTGGGAATGAGAATAAGCTGCATTTCTCCTTCAATAAGTGCACAAAGAATTGTGCTTTTGACAAACAAAATAATGTGTTCTTTTCGCTAAATATTCTAGCCCTGTTGTTTTGTTGTTCTGCTTTCTCATGAGATGCAGAACAAAGTGAATTTTGGGAGAATCTATTGTGATAAATCAAGTGCTAAATGAAGAGATAGCATTGCAGTCCTTAAATAATCCTCATCCTCTTCTGCACCCTCCTCCCCCTAATTATTTTCATACAGTCTCTTAAAGAAATTAAACAAAAAAAATATCCACCTTTAGATAGTTCACAGCAGCTCATGGTTATCTGTGACTCCACGCCTCCATTTATCTCCATCTATCTGTGCACTCAGCCTCCTGTACCAAGTGTTAATTGGAATTAAATGCTGTAGTTAAGCAGAGTCATACGGTCAATATAATCTCTTCTGTCCAGTGACCTCATACTGATACAGTGATGGTATTGAGAGACACTTTTTTGATCTAGAAATATGTTTACATATTAAATTGATATCCTCTGTAAGGCAATGAATGAAGGTCTGATATATGCCATGTGGGTTTTTGACACTATAAAAATGGCCCCATTAAATCAGCACAAAAGCCTGTCGGGTAAAGCTTATCCTGCCAGAGTCAAGATTAGATGAGAGAAAACTGTTTCAGTCATCAGCTGTGATGCAAAGTTCAATGAAGGTTGTGATTTGAAAATTCATATTAAGCATGACAGCAATGGATGGTCATATCCCAGTTCTCAATGACACAGCTGTTATTTCTGTAACTTCAACATCACCAGTGTTACCACAAACATCTGTGAAGCAGCGCTGACTCTGGCCGACCGGTGAGAGCTACTGTGTGATAGTTGGGATGCTGCGAGATCTCTTCATGATGAGACGCACCTCCACGTCAGGGAGGCTGTCCTGTTTAGTCTGGGCACACCCCTCATCTGCCGCAGCCATGTGCAGGTCGAAGCGCAGCGACACAGACTTCTTCCGCAGCTTGGGATTCCCCCTGAAGAAGGAGCCCTCCCACTGCTTTATCACTTTGTCAATCTTCTCTGTCCTGCAGGGGAGGAGGTTAGAAGTCGTGGCAATAAAAGTTGATGATGATAAATGTCACAGAACATAATGCATTATCAGATTATTTGGACAACACATGGGCACTAAGAGTAAAAAAGTTTTGTATTGGTGTATTTATGTTTTAGGTCGATAATCTCTTGTGTCATAAGGTGTACATTTGTTGTATGTGGTATGCAGCAATGATGAATGTGGATGTCAGCTGCCAAGAGTCTGTTTTTTATTCACAGTATCATTGTGTGTCATGTAATCTCAAGTGGGATGGGCCATTTCAATGGTACTGTGTGTCATTAAAAATGTCTTTCATTCTTTAATATCTGCATGATATGCAAAGTAACACCAGAGGGCAGCAAGGGAGAGCACTTCAGCTGCCTTAGATGTGACCTGCTACAAGAGCTACATGTCAGAATATGCGCCTCCTTTGTAACAACATGCAACCAGTCTGGCATTGAATACTGTGGATCAGGATCTGGGATCCATTTCTACCGAACTAAATACAAAATATTTCTCTGAAAGATACACACTAGAGTTCTTCATAGGTCTACCTAGACCCAAGGACCCTAGAACCCTAGACCTGAACTGTGAACCATTCGGCTTCAGGTCCACATTTTATTATGGCCAGTCTTGTCCAGGTCTTGTTCTACTCTATTACAGCGGGTCCCGGGTCTGTTTATCACTATGTGTAATTACTGAGTGAATCCGAGAAGACCCATGTTCGGCGCTGATCAAAACAGAAATGCGTAAGTACTGTGTGTGTAAGTTGCGTGATGAGACTTAGGATGAAATTACAAGAGTAAAGTAAGTGAAAGTAAAGTGAAAAAAACATTGAGCAGCAGAACCAGGTGATCAGGTGCAGCTCACAACAATAACAACTACAACAAAGGGAACAGTGTCTTTACTAGCTATTTTAATTACCAGGTTTGTCCGGTCCATAAAAAAGACCTGAGACCCGCCCAAGTTCCCGGTGTCTTTCATCTCTTTCATACACCAGGTTGCGTCGGTTGGGTTAGATCTAGGTCCAGTTATGTATATATTTTAAATCATTGGGTCACACAAGCGCATGCCAAATGCTAAATGGACTGGCTTCCACTGTATAATGAATCACAGTTCCATTATCACCACAGGATTTAACTAGTGCCGGGATGTAAACAGCTTATGTACATCCCATAGTTATGAAATGACAGCAGAATGGACATTCCCATTCAAATCAACGTAGCAAAATGGTCAGAGTGTTGGCCATTTTTATGTGTACCATTGTGACTGCAACTGTAGTAGGCTAACCTCCGTATCAACAAAGCAACTTGGGGCAAGTCGCAAATCGCTACGGTGAGGCTTTTCAGTACCGATCAACAGAGCAGTAGAGTAGTGACGTTACATTTCAATAAACTGTAACTGCTTTTTCCCTGTTTCTTTTGTTGCCATTAATTTCATGTTGGCTCAAGCATGATACAGGCCAACTCTAGCTGCCTCAGAGGAACGAGTAGCAGTAGCTAAGAGGACAGCTGAGAGGCACTGAGAGACCACAGGGTTAAACATGTCTTGAAGATTGATCCTAGCCTCAGTAGGATCAACACTAAAAAAGGGATCAGTTTCTCTCTTCTACGTTGTACCCACTTGTATTTCAAGAGTAAAACTGTCGGTGCCAACAGCGTTCCGTAGTGGTGAACACATCTAGCGCATGTACTCTTTCCTTCTCCACTGCTGCTGTGTCGTCTGCACTCAAACAACTTACTCCAGACCCAGCAGCATCTATGTAGCTTTAGTTTCACCTGATGTTGTTAGTAGGAGGATGGTAAGCTCAACTCCCAGCCCACCTGTTTCCTGCTGGAGGCTGACATGGACCTTCACTTGAGGGAAAGTATGTCCAAGCCTGACTTCTTTAATACGACACATAAACGCAGTGATGGCTTAATAAAAGAGGCAATAAACACAAGAAAGAGAACTTGGAGCTGCAACCGAATAAAAAAAGAGCGGAGGAGAGAAATGCCTCAGCATCCAGACCTTTGACACAGAGACAGAGTTCGCTGGTAGAGTCTGTTCAGAGGCTCAGGCAAGGAATATTCAGCGTGTGTGTTGTGCGTGGCTCTCAAAGGACATTATGCATCCCTGCGTGTCGCTTTTTGGCTGTGTGCATGTGGCTGGTAACACCTGACTGAAGAATTCCACCCATGTCTCATCCAACAATAACAGGTGCCACACCCTGAAGACTCCACACCAGGACAGTACTCCACATCAAACAAGCCAATAGAGGAGGAAAATTCCCATGCAGCACTGTGCTGAATTACTCATGGGAACCTGTGCAGCCAACTAAACGTTTTATGCCTCTTAACTTGATCGACGTGTAATGGTAATTCCTTTGAGAGTTTGTTCATCTTGTCTGCTGGACCAGACGTCGCCGGGGCGGGGAGGACGTGGATGGTTGTGTAATCACGAACTAATGAGTCAATAAATAACTCACTGATTCAAAGCCGGAGAGGTGTGAAGGCTTCAGGAGATTAAGCGAGCAAGAAACTATGTTGTTTTGTAGTCAAAGAGGCATTTATCTGGGTAATGTAGAACACTGGGCTCTGAAGTGATGCTGTTGGTGCTTTCTGCGCGAAAATGCCTACATGTCAGACTGAACCAAAGGTGCTGATGACAAGTCAACAGGGGGTGAAAAGATCGATACTTACTCAATGGTGCCGTGACCCTCTGCACTCTCCCGCACCACATTGCCCTGAAGAATCTCCTGAGTCTTCACAGTGGAGATTGGCAAGTCCTTATCTTGCTCTGGCTCTGTGAGGAGACATTAATGACATTATAAAAAGATATGACTGTAGGGAAACAGTATACGTGTGTGTGTGTGTGTGTGTGTGTGTGTGTGTGTTACCTGTGAGTATCACAAGGCTTTGCTGTCGATGCAGTACGCTTTTCTTTAGCCCACTGTCTGCTGGGAGCAGTGAAGGTATTTCAGGCAGGGGCTCAGACTTGGGTTCATCTGGAGTAATAGCAGGGTCACTGAAGCCGTTCTCCAGTCCGTTCTCCTTGGGCTCCTCCATGGAAGACCTCCAAGGCCGCAGAGTCATCGGCTGCCCATTTCGGCCCATGTACCTGCGGGCAAAAGGGCAGAGTGAAGAGTGATGACAACCAGAATGCATGTGGATCGCATGTTTATGCATGTCTGTGTATGTCTTGATTAACGTGACGTACATTCAGGAAAAATACTTTTGTTCACTTCCTTGGAAAGAGTTGGATGAAAAGATTGATGTCACTCTTATAAATATCAGTCATCAAGCTACAAACCAGACAGTTAGCTTAGCTTAGCATGCAGACAGGAAATGGAGAAACACCTCACTGAACCCCCCCAAGCCTTTCACTCCACCTTTACATAGTCTGTAGCACAATGGGACTGTCTGCCCACACCAGCCTAAAGCCATGTTTCCACTGAACACTTTGAAATAATGCCCTTAGAGCCAGGATGTAACCTATACAGACATGTACCTAAACTCTAGACATGTTTAGTGTTTCCACTGCAGACAGTACTCTTAAATGTAGGGGGGAGGGGGTTGTTACCAGATAGTAAAAGCACTAGTCAATCCAGCTCTCACTGTATTTCCTATTTATGGGGATGCAAAGGAATGTCTACACCTTATTGGTCATCCATGGGGTTGCACGCCAACATTTTTAGAGCAAGAACAGGCTTAACTGTTTAGAGCCTAAGCACTGAGTCCTTTTTTGAGCAACATTGACAGTTCTCTCTTGACAGACAGTCAACAGACAGGTTTAGCAACGTTTTTTTGTCCCACCGTATCTGATCAGTGTGCTAGATACCTCCACAAAGAGGTGACACATCACATGGTCCATATAGCAGTGATTCATTGGAATTACCTGACAGAAGAGGGTGTCTCATATTAAACTTCATCACACTAACACACCAGTTCGATATTGTTAATTGCAGGTTGCTGGGTTCTGATTTGTATTGTTTCATTTTGGTAACCTCCATGATGGCAACAGTGTAAGTGGAAAAACAAGATTTGTGGTGTTTCATACGTATCATATAAATGTTTCTAAAGTGACACAGTATATGAGCTCACTTTGTTATCGGAAGGTAGAGGGGATAGTGGATGGCATAACACTTAGGAAAGACACCGGCCAAGGTGCAGACTGCTGTAGACTACTGTTCAAGACCAACAAATAACAAAAGTGGTTGTTTTCTAGCAGTGCTTTGCTGTTTTTCCAGCGGGGATGGTGCCATGAAATGCAGTTGTTTTTAACTGAGACATCGCTGTGTTTCCAGCGGGGATGGTGCCACCTGCCTACTGTTGCTGCTTCCTCTGCAAGCTGCTTTGCAACCTGCCTCCACCCCAGCTCCTCCTTTTCACGCTGTGTCTGACTTATTGATATAATTTCAGTTTGTCAATGTTTGTCTGTTTGCTTGCTCTGTTCTGTTCCCGGGGGGGTTATTGTTGCTGCTTTCCTGCTGTTGCTGCAGGGAGGTTTGCTCTCTCTACCTTAAGGCTTTCCACGAAGGTGCATGAAAGGGCGGAGAGGTGTGCTCTTTCTACCTTAAGGCTTTCCACGAAGGTGCATGGAGGGGCGGAGAGGTGTGCTCTTTCTACCTTAAGGCTTTCCACGAAGGTGCATGGAGGGGCGGAGAGGTGTGCTCTTTCTACCTTAGGCTTTCTGCATAGGCTTTGGAAAGGCAGAGAGGCCCCAGAACAGAGCCATAACACCAAATCTAATAATGCAAATGGAAATAAAGTTTTCTTTGACTAAAGTGGTCCTGACTGAACTGGATATAAAGTGGTGGTTTTATAAGCTAAAACATGATCTTTTCCTAACCATGACCAAGTGATTTTTGTGCCTAAACATAACATACAAATGTCACTTATATATGGTTTGCAGAAACATAAAATGATTGAGGTGGTGTACTAACAAGGTGTTTAAGTAGAAAAAAAAAGTCTACACTTAATTTAACCAAAGCAAAGACACTTATGGTCCTCACAGGATGACGCCTACTGACGTTGATAATCTGCTGGCTTTACCTTGAACGCCACCATGGGGTTGACATTTTCCATTTTTAGTGAAATGGCTCGAAAACTATAGGATGGATTTCCAAGAAATTTGGCTCAGATGTTTGTTTTTGTACGTGTGTGTGTGCATTCAATTCTTGAGAATTTCATTTTACAGCACATATCGATATGTTGTCCCTTTCATAGATGTGTGGAGAACTGGATACAGTGTTGGAGGCAGGGCCCCGTTCATTCCTGTGCATGCTGTTCAGTTATGCAAAACAGTTTGACTTTGCAGGTATAAAATTACCCAGATCTTGTGCATCATTGGGCCCATGGAACAAGCACAATAGAGACTTCCAGTTTAGAGCCCCACTAACTTGAATTTATTTATTTAATTATTCTTATTTATCTAATTTAATCAAAATGTTATCAGACAGAAAGGATAAAATTCAAGTAGTGAAATGAGTCATTTTACAAGGAGCTCTGATGCTCAAAAAAATGTATCTACTGAGTTACAGATGTCTCTTTCACAATGTAAGTCTGTGGGGAAAAGGCTCTCTGGGTCCAAAGGCATCATATGACAGACTTGGAAGTTGTAGTTAAACAGTTTGGCCACTATGTAAAATTGGCTTCAAATCCTGGCACACTTCTCGGGGCCTGATCCCTTTACTCTTACTTAATCCTCCTTTCTTCCTGCTTTTCTACTCCTTCTCTCGTTCTCATATATGAACTTAATTTGCACAGCCTGAACAAGACCCTGGGTGGATAAAAGATGATAGACAAGTATCGTGGTCTGACCTTTCAGTATTATCTTTTGTGCCTTTTATTTTTTACTAAGAGTCATTTTTATTGATGTATGAGGATGCTCTCATCTCTTTGTTTTGTCCCACCCAATTCAAACATGAACAAACAATGCAAATCTCAGATCCCACATCCTGTCTCTCCTTGCATCAATGACATCAGTCAAAGTCACATCCTGAACTGAAAGCATCTTCAATCTAAAGACAAGAGGAAAACCAAAGGCAGCACTCCAACCTGTCTGTAACCTGGCAAACAAATTAACTTCCTCGAACTATAAAATGACAAACACATGGCTGATGCAGCCAATGCGTTAATTTGCAAAGGAGCTGCATGTGAGATGTCTATGATAATTAAAGGCCATGCCAAAAGATTGGAATATTCCCTCATAAAACAGCTTGACGCTGGCAGGGAAAGAGTTGTGAGAGCAGACAAAGACGAGTCGACTGTCTGGATTCTATCAACCTCTCTGCTTCAAGACAGAGCTAGATATTTAGGCAGTGAATCACTAGTTGAAAGTTTGTCATCTTCACTTAGTTTATCATTAGTGCTTTTTTGTATGTAAAAAATTACTAGAATTTCTTGTCATTTTCCCACCACTGTTGTTACATGTCACAACACATGACATCTCTTTGACAGCTATATAAAGGAATGTTTAAGAAAATGGTGCTGTGTCCTGTGTGAAACCAAGTGAACGTTGAGTATTTTAAGTTGTCCTAAGTAGGTTGTCATCATGTTTCTTTTCCTAAGCCTAACCTACATAACTCTATGTTAAATTTGTAGCTTTATGTTGAGTATGTAACATGACACTTACCTTAACTTAACCTACATAAATTCACGTTAAGTACGCCCAACCATGTGTCTTTTCCGAAACCTAACCTATGTAATTTTACGTTAAGTTTGTAACTTAACATTAAGACACTTGATCTAAACCGCATTACTTTACGTTAAGTACATAACGTGACGACACCCAACCACGTTTCTTTTCCAAAACCTAATCTACATAACTTAAAGTTAAATTTTTAGCTTTACGTAAAGTACATAATTTGACGACACTTGCTTAAACCTAACCTATGTAACTTTCTGTTATGTATGTAACATGATGACACCCAACCATGTTTCTTTTCCTTAACCTAACCTATGTAGCTTTGCGCTAAGTTTGTAGATTTAAGTACATAACATGATGACACTTGCCAAACCTAACTTACCTAACTTTTCGTTAGGTACGTAACATGACGACACCCAATCATGTTTCTTTTCCTTAACCTAACCTATGTAGCTTTACGCTAAGTTTGTAGATTTACGTTAAGTACGTAACAAGACGACAGAGTAAGTATGAACCGTGACAACGTCCAACCAAATCTGTTTTTGTAAACCTAACCAGTGTAACTTTACTTGCCTAAACCTAACCTATGTAAATTTACCTTAAATACATAACTTAATGTTACTTATGTAATGTTTGAGGAACGCTAGCTAATTCATTAGATACCATACAAATTGTTCGTAAGATATCCTACGAACCGTTAAATGAGGATACATTGTGTGTGTAGTCTGCCTTTTATATGCAATTTGCTATATCAATATGAGTATTTATGTGCTGTCTTTTTTATTTTGCTCCACTGTTCCTTTTCACAGTCTGTAAAGCCGCCTGAGTGCTCTGGGAAAACCTTTTCAGCTCCACAGTATTAATTAGTTTCTTGGCTGACGCAGAAACCACTAAATCCCAACTGAAGAATTGTTTCCTGCTCCCTGTGACGATTTCATTCCTTTCTCTGACCCTTGCCCTCACCTGCCCTCTTCACGCTCCAGCAGACGTCGGTAAGTGCCGATCTCTCGCTCCAGCCTCATCTTGGTGTTGAGGAGCTGGCTGTGGCGCTGACGCTGGGTGGCCAGCCCACTCCTCACCTGCTCCAGCTCACTCTCCAGCCCAGCTATCACCTGGGAAAGGTCCTGCAGCTGGGTGGAGTACAGCCGCTGGGTGTTCTGTAGGGAGCTCTCCAGGCCTTTCTCCTGAAAAGCAAGAAGTACAAAAGCTATTAGGATAATGACAGGTTATTATGTTTTTAATAACTCCACACTGAATTTAAAGAAGTGCATAGAACCTATTAATGTTTTAACTGTACATAGTGTAATTGTTAAAAAACAAGAGGCATCGTCCTTCACTGGTTTCCCATGACCAACATTGCCAATTTTTTTGGTTAGTTTGGTCTGGCCATGCCCTCCTTTGCCCAGCTGCTGAGAGCTCAACCAAGGTGTCTGTAGTGTTGAGCCAAAAGGATACTCATGGTTTATGGTGTACAGTACATTGTCATATTTTAAGCATACCTGCTGTATGCTAGCTACTGTTAGTATTAAGCTCAAAGCACAGCTGAGTCCTTCGAGTTAATACGTGTAAATGTATCAAACTTTTTGAGTTTGATACTCTTTGAAAATATGGTGTCAGTTTCTCCGTGACACGTTTGACAGTTAGAGTTGCCCGCCTTCAAAACCTCACAGAAATATATTACCAGTCGTCATGTATAAGTTTACATTAATAAAGATAAAATATTCATATGAACTTACTGATTCAGCATCCCACTTGCATGTAGAAAGGCTATGTAAACTCATTAAGATGTGTCAAGGGTTGGTTCAAAGTCCTATTGAAAGGTTTGAAAACACTGTAGATAATGGGCTAACACGTATAGTTTTACAGCATGTTATGCTATATTTTATGTTACTAATATTCTGTGTCTTTAAATTGTCATTACTAGAATCTTAAAATTATTCTACAAAATAAACACATGCAGTCTGCCACTTGCAGTGGAAGACTTGTTATCAGTGTGATAGTTGGGGAGTTGGCCGTGGTGATACAAGCTGACGTGCGCTTTCTTACCATGGCATGCAGGGTCTCGATCTCCACCTGCAGGGAGTGCCACTGCCTCCTGGCCTCAGCGAGCTCGGCCCGGGCCTCTCTCAGGGCAGCGCCGCCGAGGCTCACCTGCGTCCATGCTGCCTCTTCCTGGGAGAGGTGACAGGGGTCAGACGTTAGAATAGGCACAGGAACCCCAACACCACCACCACTGCCACTGTCTCACACAACCATTCAAACACGCTGTCTCATTTTAAATTCAGTAAACTCCAACTGCATGAGATAACAAGGGAGGAACTGTTTTTCTAACCCAAAAATGTGCACCTAATGTTTTGTAGATGAGAGTGTGTGGATTCTTGGAATTAATATCTGCACTACATGAACCAAATAGGCCTGATAAGAAAAACTTACACACACACACACACACACACACACCTTATTGGTAACAGTTCTCGGCCATCGACACTCAGTCAGACAGTCAGAGGAGAAGCAGCCACAGGTGGTGCTGCTGAAAGTTTGTGTGTCAGTTTAGGTAAACAGACAGCGGAGTAGACACCCAGGCCTGCGTGTACACGCAGCTGTACAAGCTGTGTTGACACACTGTACAGCTGTTAGGCGCCTCACACCCTCCGTCCTCGCCCCCGTTCAAACGCAGTGAAGCGGCGAAGCTGTCTCAGCACAGTTATGACAGTAAAAACAAAAGAAGATGACTCAAGTTATGTGAGTTATTCTCTGTTTAATTTATTACTCCAGTGGTTCTCGTTTTCTCTTCGATGCATAAAGTACATTTTAATTAATAGGGAAATATATAACAAACAAATTTAGGCAGAGATGATCCTACATCAGCTCTTCATTACTGATAACACTTGGATAAAGTTGGATGTCAGTGGCAATGAAAATTATTTTCCATCTGTCGTCTCAGGTAGTGATGGAAGAGGTCCTTATTTACTGAAACTGAAAAGTTAAAGTAGCCTACATATTATACAGAATGGCTCCTGTCACAGTGTTACATTATTATATATTATATTAACAAATTCACATGTACCAAATGTGGTGGAGCTTATTTAAACTACTTTATATACTGTTTGGTGGTTTAATCCAAAACAAAGTCTTAGGGCTGCTGTGAAACTGCGCCTACTTAGGATAACAAAAAAGTTTATCTTGGGTGCTTCTGTAAAATAGACAATCGACATAGGATCGCAGAAGAAATACCCACACACCAATTCAACTGAGCTGGACAGCCACAAAAAAAGTTCACAGGCTGAGATCATTACCAGAAAATGGCAATTTATTCGGAACATCCATGCACCAAAAGAAGGGTGCTAAAAAAGTACAAAAAATAGAATTAAAAAGTTATAAAACGGCAGCAAATGTTTCAGTCCTTGACGATCATCATTTAATTAGTGGCACCACTGCCGCTGTCAGCTGGTGCCACTAATTAAATGAGATCAACTCTGAGGAACAGAGGCCTGACTACCAAATCATTATCACCTGTCCAATGAGTATTGTACAAATCACAACATCCTCAAACACCAATGTACGATAAAAGAAGAAGGGAAAAAAAAGAGAAAATAATAAAATAATTGAATAATAAATAAATATTTTTTAAAAATATATGAAAAAATAAATAAAAAGAGCAAATACAAAGTATGACAAAGCATATCCAAGAGTATAATCTATAACAGTGCATCACATCTTATTTTCTGATCATATGTTTTGTATCTAAAATCTTAACTTAAATTACTGCCTCGCAGTTGCATGCCTCTGCTAACCAGTCAAGTTACAGTTTACATCCGTGTCTGTCCAGACTTATATGTATAGTATATGTATAGCTATGGTAGTTGACAATGTTTCAGATGAAGATGATGCTGCAAAGGAGCTACAAATTCTCAAACACAGATGCTTCACACTCATCTTCACCGCACAGTGTCATGATTAGTGTCACTAATTCAGTATATGACCAAATGTTTCCCCTCTCAGTTCTTGAGTTATGCCATTGAGTAATGGCCAGAAAAGTGTTTTACACTATAATATGATGTCACGGTGAAGGTGACCCCTGAAATTTGGACTTAAAATATCATCACTACATTATCATATCCTATAGAATATTTGTGTTAAATTTTGTCATAATTCATGCATTCATTCTTGCGTTATGTCCAAAATGGTGTTTAGTGAGGTCACAGCGACTTGTGACCACCAAATTCTGACCAGTTCATCTTGAGTCCAAATGGCCGTTTGTGCCAAATTTGAGAAAATTGACTAAAGGCTTTCTTCAGGTATTATGTTCACAAGAATGGGAGAGACAGACAGAAAACCCCAAAGCATACCTTAGCCACAGCTGTCACAAGCATGTAGAGATATCTAATAACTACTGCTGTCAAATTTATTAAAAAGTGAGAAAGAAGTTACAACACTTCTCTCAGAAATGTAGTAGTAGATGTGTAAAGTAGCATAAAATGGAAATACTATGTAAAGTATAAATAGCTTCACATTGCACATAAAGGTATACTATACTGTGCAGGAATTGTTGGCTACTGTATATAAACAATAGCAGCAAGAGTGAAAGTGAAAGTTAACCCTAGCTTTGTCTACTTGGCATTTTGCCTTGCTATATTTGCTGTGTTGTGATGTCCGTAGCTTCCTCTTGGATGCGTGTTGCTCATGGTCTGGCGCCTGGTCACTACCTTTGTATAAAGTCCAGACATCACGTGCTTGCTCTGCCTAGGAACGGCACAGCAAAATAAGAAGAATATACAGGCAGATGGCAGATAAATTCACCGCCACACACTTATAGTGATGATCGAGAGTGATTACTATTGTTTGAGTTGTATGAGCTTGCTGGGAAAATCCTGCATAGTATACCTTTAAGTACAGTGCTTGTGTTGTACTTAATTCCAGAACTGATCTCAGGTGATATTTCATACATCACTGGTCTAATTTTGACAGACTACTGGTGTCTATATCTTTGTGTATATTTTTACTGATCTGATTTTTCTATTATGACCCATTATGTAGATTCTATCTGAGCCTCTTCCTGTTTTGACCACTAGTAGTGCTATAGAGCAATGTTTTTCCAGGTGGGCCTGTTTTGTTTGTATAGTGCACATGCCTCAGGGCACACATGCACGACACAACATATGTTGCTGCCACTGGTTTCACACTATTTTACGGATCAGCAGTTGGCATCCACTGAGAAACACAGCAACACGCCAAAAAGGGGAGGGAGGAAGTCTACAAACTCGCAAACATGAAAGCAAAGAATGCAGAAAATCAGCTTTGCAAATGTTTTATGATGAAGGAAATGAGTTGAGCACATTCATGACCTCGAGGATACACACAATGTGTTTTTATTTATGTGTTTATTATCAGGGACAGTGCACATAAATCAACATCACTGTAAATGTGTAGCCAAAAGGCTAATTGTTAAATGTTATCTTTCCTCAGCCTGGTGTTAAACTGGCCAATAAACAACAAATAAAACACACAAGCAAAACAGGATGGAAAGATTATAGATACAGCAGCATCATGCAGAGTAGGACATGTAAAAAGCAGGCAATAATACAAAACAATGATGAGCAAACAACCAGTTGAAACATGACAAGCAAAAGTCACATTTTCGAGGACGTAGCAGAAGCAGACAATCAGCACAGACAGTTGAAGCATGACAACATACAATCACATGATGTTACAGAAGAAAGGTATAACCAAAAGGTACACAACTTTTGTCTATTTACAAAAAAAAGCTCCACAGTGCACCTTTAAGATTAAAAAGAGTAGTGGATTTAATGATGAAGGTCCTGTAGTGTTGGTAGTTTTGTTGCCTGCATCAGCATTTTGACTCTACATTGTAGTTTAGACTTTATCAACTCACGAAGTTAACATTACAACTCAACTTTTACCTGTGTCAGTTCATAATAATATAATATCCAGCTGATTGCGTGTTAATATGCTCGGAAAGCCCTTATTCTGAAAGAGGCAGTGCACTATTTTAAGGCAAATATCCTCTGTGATAATTATGGACGTCATGCAGGCTTGACTGCAGCGTTGTGTAACAGTTACTTCAGTGGTAGAGACAGAGAAGCTCAGATGTAAACAACGACATTTCAAAGAAACCTGCTCCATTTTAGCACCGTGGTAGCTCTTAGCCCTCGGCCAAGGCACTTTATTGTCGCTGTCAGACCAAAGTCATTGTGCTGTGGCTCAGGAACACTGGGGTAAGACAAGGCATCCAGACTGCGTTTTCTTTCACAATAATAAAAAGGAGGACAGTCAGGCTGAAACAACAGTAGAAAAGCTCTTACTTTGAAATGAAAAATGCTGCTGTTATCGTAGATAAAGGATGCAAATGTTTGCAAGATTCGTAAATGAGAATGCTGAGGTTGTAATTTGGCTCATAAATATTTAATGAAGATCAGGGATCATTCACTCAGAGTAGTAGCTGGTGCTGTAACACAATACTGTAATTGTGTGTAACAGTGAGATGGTGAAGGGAGTGAGGAGACCATCACACACAGACACACACAAACCTGCATGAAGGCAAATACACAAAAGGCAGAGAGGCATGGGTGAGTTGTAACCCTCCAGCCTTTCACCACAGTCAACAAACAATAACCATTTAACTCAATATACATCACTCAGCCTTGCCTGTGGGACAGCCTGGAGTTGGTCTGAGGGTGTGTCTGCCTGGCTGCAGGCCAGGACAACATGAGAGAGGCATAGAGAGAAAAAAAAAGATAAGTGAAGATGCAGGAGTGGATGCGTACCTCACTGAGAAGTCCGTGTGTTCTGGATGCTGCTGCTGCTGCTGCTGCTGCTGCTGCTCCAGAGCGGCTGGCCCCAACCAAGCCGGGGAGTGGATTTGACGCGGCACCCAGGCCGAGGTGTCTCTCGCCCAGGCCGGGAAGCCTGCCCTGGTCGCACTGTGCTCTGATTCGGTCGAGGAGCTGGGTGAGCTCCATCCCTGTGCCATCCTCCTCCTCCCCTCCTGCTGCTGCTGTGGCCGTTGCTAACAGAGCATCACAGGAGCCGGCCTGCTGCAGCTGCAGAGCCCGGGCTGCCTGCAAACAGCCAACCAGATGGATCAGAAGGGGGAGGGAGGGGGGGACAGAGAGAGGGAGAGAGAAAGAGAGACAGAGGAAGGGTGAGAGGAGAATGATGTAAATAGTGAGAAGATAAAAACAAGACAAAAAGGCAGATGAAACTTGTTTGTGACTGAATAAGTGATTGAATGTGAAGGAGAAAAAGAGGGCAAGAGTGATGTGTGTGTGTGTGTTTGAGTGTGTGTGTGGGGCAGAGAGCTGTGAGGCAGTCCACGCAATGCAGAGGCAGGAGAAAACATACGAATCAGGTACTGAGCCCTACATGTGTGAAGATGCGTGTGTGTGTGTTGTATGCAGGAAACGACAATAAAAGTGAGGGAGCATTAGTCAGCAAGAATGAGGAAACGAAGAGGAGGAGGTGGGAAAGGGGGAAGAGAGAGGGGGCAGATGAGGTCAGGGTAAAAGGATGAGGAATTGTTGGATGCTGTGAAATGTAGCGAACACACACACACACACACACACACACACACACACGTACTCTTCTTGTTTAAATCCAGTTGTCTGGTCACAGTCAGCATCTCAAAAGTCCTTTCCCTCATTCTCTGGGGACAAATTTGTGAACCTGTACTTAATGGCATAATTCCAGAATTTTGGAATGGGGTTGTATGATGGTAGTTATTTATAGTCAGAGTGTTAAATACAGTAGATGGCAATCAGCATGCCCCTAGTTTGGAGAAACAAACTACCACAGAAGCTAACCAATACACTGCTGTGGATGGGGGGCAGCAACGAAATGCATTTCAGACTCACCAAAAAAGTAACGCCTAAAAAGTTAATAAGAGTTTCAGTGTATGCTATATTGAGATTATTTCCACCACTTTACTTTACTGCAGAAAGCCCTTTTCAACATGGAAGTTTTTAAAGGCTTCAGTTTCCTGTCTCTGCTCTCTTCAAACGCACCAGACTCCATTGAGAAAAACAGCAATTTAAGCTCACTGAACACGGTAGTTGCTGGTCTACCGCTGCCTCGATCGGTTATTTTGTTTGTGTTATTGTGTGAGTTTACTAACTCTTATAATCCCCAAAGTCACTCAATAACACACACACAATAACTGATCGAGGCAGTGGTGGATCAGCAGCTCCTGTGTTCAGCCATGTTAAATCTCTGTTTTTCTCAATGGAGTCTGGCTTTCAAGAGAACAATATAATGGCTTCAGTTGCCCATCAAGGTAAAGCAGTAAAAATATTCTAAATATAGCATGCACTTAAATTGATATTGTTTTTTTTTAGGTGGCTGAAATATGTTTTTCCGCTGCCCCTGTCCACAATAGCTTCTGTGGCAGTACTCCTGCCTGCTTCTCCAAACTAAGGGTGGAAGATTTGGTAGTCGGAAGTGCCGACTCCAAATGACCTATTTCCGACTTGTGGAGAGTCAAGCTACTTGCATGGCTAATTTACTGTTCAGTTTCACAAACACATACACACTCACTCACGCGCTCACACACTTGGGTGGCTGTGGCTTAGAGGTAGAGCGGGTCATCCACTAATCGGAAGATTGGTGGTTCGAGCCACGGCTCCTCCAAGTCACAGTATCCTTGGGCAACATACTGAGCCCCAAAATGCTACCAAATGGCTGTTCCATTGGTGTGCGAGTGAGCTAAAAACTGAGTAGCAGGTGGCACCTTGTATGGTTGCCTCCGCCACCATTACTGCACAAATAACTTTATTAGAACAAGACCTACAGCAAACGTTCACTAGATATAAGTTTCAAGCAGGCCTGTCCAGCAGTCCCACCATCTGATTCAACTTACCATCACCTGCCGGTTAGTGAACATCTCAGCATGTCATCACCAAAGAGAGAGGAATATAACCTCAGCTCTGATGGAACAACTACAATGTCAGTCAGTGAACTTTTGTCCAAACTGTCCTGATCCAAACTGCTCCTCCTCGATATGACCAGTCCTCTGCTACCCCAGGAATCACACCAGGAGAGACTATTCCTATCGATCACTGTCCTCCAAGTGTCTCAGTCATGGCTAACATTAGTGTTTAAGGTGCACAGTGGGACTTAATTTGTAAAGCCCTGTACACAAACTCGCTCACCCTCTACAAAAACACTCAGCAACAGCAAAGTGCTGTTAGATGTCACATTTAGACACCTTATCGCCCACTACAAGAGGCCGCTTGAGGCTTGTGAGTGGCTCTCTCTCTGTAAAACTCCTGAGTAGAAGAGAGACCAATCCTTTTAGAAGTTTGGCTCCATAGTCGATGCTAAGTCCAATAAACTGCTCAACTTCCAGCCATAAAGAAGTCCAACACCATCTTCCAATTATTCAGGTAATTTCCTCCAATGCCCATGACATCTAAGCCTGTCCTGCCACTGTCTCTAGCCCCAAAAACACTGTAAGTGCTCCCCTAAACTTTGCCTCACAGGTGCTGGATTATCCTCCATTTGTGAGCCAATTAGAGGCATCATCAATGTTTCTGGCCCCTCACTTGAAACCATTTTGACTTTCATGAGCGTACCAAGAGCTAATGCTCCTGACAATATTGCTCCCAAGGCCACTGGAGCACAATCCTATTTGTATAAACAATCTTTTTTTCTCCCAATATTGTGACGAGACATGAACTCAACTGGCAGGACGTCATTGTTAAGTCTTTTGTATTCTTTGTCTGAGTGAATAAAGGGTGCATTAAAGATAGACAGGCACAGTGACACAGGCAGACACATGCGTTGGAAGGGAAAAAAGAGAGGGAAAGGTATCAAGCTTTTGCAGGCAGTACATTTAGTGACCTCAAACTCCTGGTGCATCTCCTGCAGCTCTGTCATGGAGTGCCGAAGGTCTGCCTGCAGCGTGATGCTGTTCTGATCCGCCTTCCTCTTTGACTCCCTGAGCAGAGCAACCTGTTGCTCCAGACGCCTGGTGTTCACCTCCTCCGTCTCACACCTGTGATATGAAGTCAACAGCCAAGGCTATTCATTGAGACCCATTCAGTGTTAATCATTTAACTATGCCATATAATACAATTACATAGAATCCTTCAATAAGCACAGAGAAAATACATTTATTCAAATAGAGCGCAGATCAAAGTCAAGTGGGAAGTTTTTACTTTCCTGAAATATTGACACATTCCTCAGTCCTGCCAAAATCTCAGTTTAAGTGGAACACGGCAGGTGAATAGAGGAAAATTTTTAACTAATAGATGTCAACCTGGAAACCTTCCTATTTGATCACTTATGTCTTGACAATTATTGTTTGTATTGCAAGTTTTCTTTGAAGTTTATGTTTAAATATGCATATAAGACATTATTTAATTAAATATGTGCTAATCTGCATATATTTCTGAACAGAAATCTGAACATTGGATAAAACCAGTTTCAAAATTCTTGAAAGGGGGCAGGGGGTTTCTGATAAGAGCTAGAGAGTATCCTCTAAGGTGATTGAGGATTGTGGTTTGAGTTTAAAGATGGTGCATAACAGTGAAGGAGGATGTTGCAAAAATCAAAACTACAAGAGAAAGGATAAAAAAGACCTTGACATCATTTAACTGTGTCATAAACAGAGTCCAGAGTCTCACAGACACTCAGCTAGTCAGGAGACACATCAGGTGGAGCTATAAATAGAACAGGTGTTTTTATTTCAAGCTGCAGCGTGTCGTCGCTGTCCTTCAGGGGTTAATGGCTAACAGTGGAGGGTGTGTGTGTGTGTGTGTGTGTGTTGAGGGTGGGGAGGGGGGGAGGGGGGCTCGGTGTCACTCTGCATCAATACATAAGTGAAAGTGCCGACGCGGCACAAAGCCTGGCCTGGATTTGTATGCAGGTTGGCTCACAGGAGCGGGAACTGGTCTGAGTTAGATAACAGAGGAATGGAAAAGCATTGCAGCAGGATGAAAACAGGATGTCTTTAATAGTTATTCTACATCCATGCTTAGTATCCTGTGATGCTTTTATGGGCCAATAATGATGATTCCACATTTCTCTTTGCATGTTTAACTATGTCACCAATAAGATAGATGTATCTCACTCCTCTACTCTGCACCTGATCATTTTGGACATAAATTGTATGAATGAGCATAACATGTCTGTGGGATGCCATCTCAGGCCTAATATACTCATAATAATAACAATAAGCCCTGTATTGACTGAGGGAGAGGAGCGTTAGAGCTTTCAGGAAAACTACAGCCAAATACAGCTGACCTGGCCTGGATGGCAGCAGCTCTGGACTTCATGCTGTCAGACTGTAGTGCCAGCTGGGCATTCTCCATCAGCAGGTTACCAACCTGGCAAAAACAAAGATACAATAACATTAGATTAGACAGAAGATGCAAAAACAATACGTAACTCTACAGCTGGCACAGTGACTTTGGTCGGAGCTGAGGCATTTGGGTGGGTCTGCAAAAATAGTAACTTTGTTTTTGGGAACAACAAGTGATATTTTAAACTGTAAGTCCTTGATCAGAAATTGTACTGTGACATAGTTAGAAATGTGATCTCAAACATTATCCTACATTATTATGTTGTGATATGTTTTACTACCTCCATACAAACATAATAAAGATCGCTTGTTTACTTGTCCTGAAGGAGGCCATGTTTTTCCCCTGCAGGCTTTTTTTCCCGCTGCAGACATTTTGACGTGTCATTGTTTAAACAAGGACAACTGGAGGAATAACCTTAGTATCAGCGATGACAGTGTATCTCCTTTTTCAGGAAGTTTTGATGCCTGTAAATTAAATACAACTTTTGTCCTGTGAGAAATGAGTTGGATACTATATTAACATACAGTACAATTCAGTTCATACGTGCCATTCCTGTTTAGATTATTCAAGCTTCTGCAAGTTTGAAGTATGAGGACCAAAAACTAACCTAATATTGGCTCATTAACTTTCAGGGGAAGCACAGGTCTTCCTGGGATACGTAAGTTGAGTACCAAAGACATTCAACATTAACATTCAGAGTATTAAAGGGAATTTCGGTATTTTCCAACCCCGACCCTATTTGTCCATGTTTCCCATGTATTGAGTGAGACTGCTGCAGCCTTATCGACGAAACCGGCAAGGACGTGCTTGATTGATTGATTAAAAGTGCTTGTTTATGCCGCTGACATGCTCAGATTTTTATTTAAAGTGTCTGGGAACTTGTGGAAAGGATCCCTACAGAGGTCAGCTTCTTTGTTAAAGAGTAAGATCCTTTTTGTTTAACCAGAAACAGGGCCATCAGCAAACACACCAGACTCCATTTAAATAAACAGTAATTTAAGCATGTATAGAGCCAACATACTTTCACATCTAACTATGGGAATTATGGGTTTATTTCAACCAAACCAGAGCTGGTGATTAATGAAACAGTGGAGAGACAAATGAAGATGTGTATCTTATGATGATAAAATTACATTCTTTTTTAAATGGAGCCTGGTTGGTTGGTTTGAGTATAGTGCTTTTTGGGCTGTTTCTGGCTAAAGAAAAAGGATCTCACTCTTTAACAAAGAGGTCAGTCTCTGTAGGGATCCTTTCAATACTGTTGTTAGACATGTATAATAACAATCTGAGCCTGTCAGTGGCAAAAACAACTAGACCAATTGCAAAAATTGCTTTTCTAATTGGTCACTTAGACACACAACATGGGAAAATAGGTGCTGGTTAAAGATCCAGGTAGATACCGTTTAATATAGAAGCAAACCACCATCTGATATGTAAAGATATGGCGGAGTAATGGCATCCTGAGCAGAGAATTAAACTACACTCCCTCTGTGTGCATTGCAATATGAGACTCACTGTGGTTTGTTGTGGTAAGCCGGTCCGACCACATGTGTGCACCCTACTGGCTAGCTCATTGCTGCTGCTTTGCACTGTGCTCATGGTAGTTACCGCTGATATTGAGAGGGCGTTAGGGAAGCACAGTGCTCACCCTCTGCTCCCCCACCCAGTTAACACCGTTAGCTCTATCAGCACTGTTGCCATTGTTTAGCACTATTTTTGGAGTTAGCACCGTTAGCTGACAGCCACTAACTCAGTTGCCTCCATAAAAATATAAAGAGAAATGTTGCTGAGTGATGCATGAAGCCAAGAACATTTGATCTCTGAGGTGTAAAATTTCTCAGAGCCCCCAACCTGTTGGGCACATAGTGCAAGCTAGTGACTTATGAGCAGCTAATTGCTCATTTAGCCCTCCACTAACTTGACAGGGGATAAAATGATTCAATCGTTCGACTCTTCTGAACTTCAGAAATGTTATCAGACTGAATGGATCAAATCCCAATCCTGAAACGAGTCATACTGTGGGGGTTGTGATGCTCAAAAATACGTAACCACTTATTCACAGATGTCTCTTTCACAATGTTAGTCTATGGGAAAAACTGTTTTTGGGCCCTACGGCATCACGTGATGGACCTGGAAATTGTAATTCCATGTTTGGCCACTATGTCAAATTGGACTGAAAGCCCAGCTCTGTTCTTGGAAGCATGATATAGCCCCTTTAAAAGCATTACATCATATCTTGGTAATGAAGTAAATCCTTTGTGCATTAAGGGCTTGTGTAGAAAAGCTAGCTACATACCAAGTCAAAACTGTCATTATTTTTTGCCTCCTTTTTTATCCTGAATTACTGCTCCATTAAACCTCACCACATCTGATTGCTGAATGAAATGTCTCTGTTGACAGAATGGGGACAACTGTGTCTCGCAGATTCACCCACTCACCAAAAAGCTGTGATGAGCCAAAGGTGTCAAGCACACCAGAACTTTTGTATTAAAGTGAAGTAGTCATGCTGTGTTATTATTAGCCTACGATATTTTGGAAAAATGGGAATACATAACACTGTCACTCTTTCAACTTGTTTATCTTCTATAATCAGATAAAAATCATGTAGTAAGAACTATTCTGGTTTGTAGCACAATAAATTGGCTGTTGCTATCAAATTTTGTTTTTATTTTTGGGGAAACTGAGGTTAAAAGTGTGACAAGTCACATTCAGAACAAATCAGTGTTGTGCACAGAGTTCATCTCTGGCTATGTACAAACTGTATGCATACTGTATGCGGAATAAAGCCAATATCGTACCTCAACACAGCTGACAAATGACTGTATTTATTTGTTTAGCATTAGCAGTCACTAAATTGTACAGAGGCTTGTGTAAAAATGGTCCAAACTGTACTGTTCTTTACAGTTTCATTTGATTCTCTCTGTTCAGTTGTACAAAAAGGTGGCGCCTGGACTCTTATCACACACAACAAAGATGTTAACACACCTTAAATCCCTTTGTTTATTCCAACACTTTCAGAATGAGACACACCCATGTTGAAGGCAAGCCTAAGATAACCTGGAATATTCCATAACATTTATATCATAAACACACACTCATTATCAGCATGTTTTATTACACTGCCCTGTTTCTGAGCCCCAGCGAGATGAGTGAATTAGTAAATCAACGAGATACTTAAGCTAAGTGGCAGTCATTAAGTCTGTGCTGTAAATTCTTAAGTCGATAAACAATAAAGTAATCCTATATGTTAACAGAGAAGCATCCCCTGGATCACTGAACAATGCAGAGTTTGCTCTGGTGTCTGTCATAGTCATGGGAACGTCAGCCAAACTTTGGAGAAGAGCTGGGTGACGTGTTGAGCAATGAGAAGCAAGAGCCATTAAAGTGTCAGTCAGTGACACTTACTCATGCAGAACGTGACGTAAACACCAGGGAGCAGTTAAAAACTGTTAAGTCAAGTCACATGAGATCACCATACCGGTTAATGGTCTCCTAAGTGGATTGGCCTTTAGAATAAATAAGAGTGCCACATTCTTTTTGTGTGTGACAGCAGGCGTTGTTTCTGTGTCTCCCTGGCTCTGACCCAGGTGTGATGAAACATACGCTTCCTGCTTCTAATCCTCTCCAAAAGTTCATTTTAACTAGAGTTACCTCTCACTCATGGATTAACATAAATTTAAGACTTTTTAATACCTTTTCAACACCACTTTAAATGAGATTTAAGACCAAACCTGTGATGGACATACACACCAAAACTATAAAAAATACTCTTTCCAAGTAAACACACTAAAGTCAGTTTAAAATGAACAGTAAGGCAAAATGACACTGATGATGTTGGTAAAGATTCTCAGTCATCCAGGTCACAGTAATCTAAAGTCCTATATCGTAGGCTCAAATGGACTTGCTTGAGTTTCTTGAAGAGGTTTCACCTCTCATCCAAGAGGCTTCTTCAGTTCTACTGGACTGGTGTGAAGTCGCAGGCTTTAAACTCTGTGTGAGTGTGAACCCTTACAGAGTTGTTGAGGTCACATGTCCTCTGAGTTTCAGAGTCTTTAAAGTCACATGTGAGTCGTTGACCCACCTGGCCATTGTGTGTGTCATTAGGGTTAGCTGGGCACAGGTGTGAATGGGTGTTAAGGCCCAATCCCATTTCTACCCCTTAAATCTTCCACTTGGTATTGAGTGCCCTCGTTTGCGAGATAACCCTTGATGAGGGAAGTGAGAAATATTAGGGTAGAGATCTTTCCCTAAGAAATGAGACACAACTTCATGCAAATCGGCGTGGCAGACGTGCAGGCATACGTCACGCGTAGTAGCGACGCAAGATACCGGTAGTCATTCAGGTTTGAAAATGCCAACTCCGGCACTTGTGTTGTGGCGTGTGCTATGTTTATTCTTCTCTGTCTGATGAATCAACGGAGAAGAAATGCTGAAAACAGGAGGCGCCTACGGCGTCTTATAGTTTTGATCGATTTTGTTCGGGTAAGTCGATTTGTTTAAATATTTTGACGCTGTGTTCAACCAAGTTGCTGATGAGTTTACGCTAGTCCAACAATCTGTTGTTTGTATAGCCTACATTCTGATCGTACAGCAACAAATTGTTTTCCAAAACTTGCCGAAGTTGCTGACTTCGCAAGGCGTTCTGGGAAATTTCATCTTCCACTTTGTTTAAAGTGTGGGTCAGGGCTCTCTTGGAATCTAGGGCGCATTTTAAGTGTTGGAAACCACTTCCACTACCTCAATTCTGTTTTGGGACACCACTAGCCTAAACGTGAACGCGCACAACCAAGTGCACGTGGGTATTTCTAGGGGAAGTTTGGGAATTGGGCCAGGCCCTAAGTCGTCTGGGGAGGGAACCCAAGTTGGGATGGCTCTGTCAGCGTCTTAAAGAAACTCAAGCAAGTCCAGTTGCCTACGATATAGCACTTAAGACACTGATGATCATCTCTGTGCTTACTGCTCTGTGCGGAAAAATACACTGAAAAGCAGCCTGGCTCGCAAGGCCTTATTTTTATGATGCAGACTCGCAGCGTGATCTAAGCGCATAGAGGGGCGAAAAATGCACACGTACAGGTGTTAAGTCTGTTCCCCTGTTGAATGATTCTCTCCTGTTAAAATGATGTTTCCTGAAGTGTCAAAGCAGGAAATTCTCATGGTGACTAAAAACATTAAGATCCATCCAATCGGAATTTAAGACAATTAAATGCTTTTTAAGGCCTTTGTGATACAATGAATACACAAACCAAATAACAAATATAAAGTAACAATGATTAGTTGTCTGGAAAAGTATCTTCTAGTAACACATTCATTTAGTTAGTGACATGTCTTATATAAATGTTTCACTTTTTTTAAAATCTATTTAAATCTAAATTTTTTTTAAATCTATTCCCTTTGACTCTCAAATCCGATGTCAACATTTCCATAACTAAAATGTCTTGGATAATTTCCAGCCAGTGTTTCTTTTTTGTGGAGCATTTACATTAAGGGAGCAATGTGTCAGTTTAAGGGAGATTTCAATGGTGTCTTGCTGTGATGACTGCAAATTTTAACCAGCTAAAACTTCTCCCAGTTAAAATTCCATCAGTGTTCATTGATCAGGGGGTTCCTCTCCAAAACAAATGGACCTGGTGATTTAAACCAGTAAAAACACTTTACACATCATAGTTTCTTCTACACTGTTTGGCTTGTCACAGACAGGCCGCTCGCCCAGCGCCTGCTATGTGGCCTCACCTCTTCTCTCTGATAAATGAATGTGTGCTCAACTTATTTCAGATCAAGGCTTTCAGGAGATTATTACCATGAGCTGAATTATCCGCAGAGGTCTCCTTCTTTTCAAAACAAATCACATTACAAATCAGTGTTTCTCCGATGCTGGTTTGTATGTCAGAGCTAGGCCATTAGCCTAGCACCTGCTAACGTGTGCTCAACTTTTATCTCTGATAACTTCAAGAGTTTTTTTACCAAATTATCTGCAGAGGTGTCTACCTCCCCAAAACATCTCAAATGAAGAAGAAGCAATTCAGCCTTCTTGTGTGCGGTGTATCTGCTTATGTGTGGACTTCCAGTGTTTGGTTTGTCCATTCTGGGCTACTGTAGAACAACATGGTGATGCAACATGGCAGACTCTATGGATTGGGACCCGCCCCCTATGTAGATATACACAGCTCATTCTGAGGTAATGAAAAGACAACGATTCTCATTTTCAAGTAATTATACACTAAAGAAAACGTACTTCTTATATTATATTCAATTTCTGCCAATAGGTCCCTTTGAAGCCTACACACTGGACCTTTAAAACATTTTAAACATAAGAAATAAGCATTTCATTGGTTTGGTTCAAAACTCTTTTTATAGAACTCACATGTGTCTTTTAACTTAATGACAAATACGTTTTAATTTCTAGTTGGTTTTGAAAAAAGGTTTTAGAAATCAAGAAGAGGGTGTTGTCTCTCCTGGTGCAAAAGCATGACATTCATAAATAATCAACAGTAAACTTTTATAGCCTCAAACCCATGTTTATTATGTTTCGCCACCATGCATTGTCAGCCTTTCAACAACAACTTTATGAGTGTTAAACAGTTGTTGATACATGGTGGTTTCATCAGTGTAATGTAACACCGCCAGCAGTGGGGCGGTTTTCCTCAACCCAGAGTTGCCACTGCCCTTAAGCCACTTTACCCGGTCTTTAAGTGAACATGCATTTGAGGCTGTTCACATGATGTTGCAAGCAGCTGTCAGCAACATTAGTAATCCGCTGTGTCTCTGTTTTGACTGCAGTCATTGCTGTCTGATTATACACACCTGCTTCTGCTGTCTGCCAGCCAATATGGCCTTGAGCTGATGTAATGGAGCATAATCATTAAACAACAGCAAAGCTGCAACACTGTTCTGGCAAACAGCTGTGCAATTTCCAACATTTTTAAAAGCCCAAGTGACTTTAAATGATCACCTGATAGTTAACAAACAGAGTCTGACCTGAGTACGGAGATCCTTGACAGTCTGTTCCTGCTGGGACCAGTCCCGGGAGTGTGAGGTGCTCCTGACACCCCACTCGGCTATCTGAGCCTCCAGCCTCTGGTTGGCCTCCTGCAGCCTGTTAACCTGCTCCAGGAAGCCCTTCAGGCGGGCGTTCAGACCCCACATGGTCCGACTGGAGTCCTGCAGCAAGTCCATTGAGACCTGAGAGAGCGCACAGCAATATATTTACAAGCACACACAATGAGGCGCTGACATTTCCATACAGTCAAATGACACAGCCGATAGTGCCTATGATGGTCAAAACATTCAGATAGGACGCGGCCGACAGACTTCTGTTTCCTGCAGGATACATGCACAGTCATCCAAAGTTATAACTTTCACAGCAAACACTCCACCACCCGTTTAAGATCACACGCTGCCAAGGCGTTCACTAGGTAAATGTTTACCCAGTGATACTCACCTGAAGCGACGTGGCCTTCCACGAATAAGGCACAATAAGTGTAATAACGAGGCGGTCTGTTCTTCTGGTCACACTGAGCTGATCCACCACTCCCCACAGCTTAGCCACATTCCTCTACAGCGGTCGGGTCAACACGTTCTCCTTCCCACTGTGTCCCAGGTCATCAGCAACAGGCCCCTGAGACAGAGCAGACAGGCTGCCGTTAGCCTGCCGATATCACCGTTTACAAGTCGGGCTGTAGTCTTCAGGGTCATCCACAACAGGGATGTTCCTCCCTGTCTCACCTCACCCCCCAGGCAGCATGTGGGAGAGGGGAGAGCAGTGGGGGTACGCGCTGGACACAGTGCTTACATCACCAGCACTCTGGGGCCCTTTGTGCTCTCTGATCCAGGATTACTGAGCCGCTTTCAAACAGGCAGCAACACAAGCTGTGGAGGGAATGTTCAGGGAGACACAGTGACAGGACCTGTGTGTGTGTGTGTGTGTGTGTGTGTGTGTGTGTGTGTGTGTGTATTTGACTGGTGCTTTAATAAGAGGTTACCGATACATGTACTATAATTACTGTGAAATCTGTGTCCCTAAAGTCAGCTCTGGAGTTAAGTCACACAAACTCTGTGCAGAGTTACCTCTTGCTCAATGACAGTGGTGGCTGGTTTTAGAATAACTGAGTGTGTGTGTCTGTCTGGGTCAAAGGTTTCATCTTCTAAATATTATAATGTGCCCTTCAGTATTTCCATGGATACAGTGTACACAGATTCTCCATAACTACAGCCCTTTGTTTCAGCGCTGACATTTCCATGGCTATCTTGTACATCTAGCAGATGGCAGCATCACAGACATCAATCCTATACTGAAAATATTTAAAGTGTTGTTATAAGATGTATGTTTGGTTAAGCTTAGGTGTGGTGTGACGATTTCAGTGAATGTTTAAATGCCAAGCTGTGATCCAAATGTAAACAAATGAGTCGGCTCACTATTACAGGAGAATGAAAACACAAGATTGTAACGTTGCATGGCTCCCCAACTGAGTGACAGGTTACTTCATGCAGAGACACTATACAACAACTACGTTTATGGAATTGGAACTTTCTGATACCACTAACGTGAGGCTACAACTTACTAAACAGTGTCTACTGTGGCTACAAGTGAATGCTAAAATGCTAAATGCTAAAATGTAGCAGGTCCGCTCACACCAAAACTGTCACAGTAGGTGTTTAACTAATTAAACATTTAACTGTTAACTGACAATAAAAAAAATTTGAATGATTAATACTATCGGTAAAACAGTTAAAAATAGAGATGGTGAGACAGCGGAGTCTGGTCCTGCCCAGGCTGGAGTAATATGCTGCCACCAAGACAATGCCATGATGTTCCTCCAGGGAGACAAGCACCCCTCAACAAGCTTATGACCCAGAGGCAGGGGTGGAAACCTATATGAAAGCAATCAGTTCAATATCTGCCTGGTTGGCATGAGCTAACACAGAAGCAGCAGCTAACATCATACACTGAGCCTTTAAATGGTTCCAAAAAACTCACAGCGATACTGAAATGGCTCGACTCTGTCATTGAACCCATAGGGTAACATTAGCCGTGTGATGCTAACAGTTGACCCAATCCAGTGAATGTGCGGGGTGGGCTGATTTTCAGTGTCCCCAGAACAGAGCTCACACTCCTGCAGCAGTATTGTCATGAGAGAGAGTGAGAGTGGGCAAGAAAGCACTTTGCAGCACTACACACAGCTCTACAATCAAATAAGATTTCAGCCCTTTTATGATTAAGCATTAATGATGACAAAGGCCAGTTATCGCTCTCAAAAAATTCTAAATTATCACCCCTATGTCACAGCAAAGTTTATCTAGGTTGATGATGCAGTGAATTTGCAGTTAGTTGGTGATTCAGCTAACTGCTAACGTGCTGGCAAGCTGAGACCATGCTTTGCTTGTCAGTCAGAATCAGCTTCCAAGCTACCAACTTCGCAAACTGTCAGAAAGCCAGCTGGCTCGACGGGTCTCTATCATCACAGTAACTTCAAATCATGGATTAAAGAATTGCTTTTTTGTGCTACTGACTGCTGTCTCATCACTGTCTGCAAACCGATCCTCTTTTGTGGAGTAGATTATTATCCAGCAGAGAAGGTTAAGATGGTGCAACACAGCTAATAAAAGCTTCCTCAAGCTTACCCTTACCTCAAAGGTCAGAGGCAAGACAGTTTGCTATTGGTCAACGGCACAAATTTGTTCATAGAAGCTGAACTTGTCACAAAACAGGTGTTGGTCCACTGCTGCAAAAGTTCAGCTTTTTAAATGCTGATGTGACACTAGCATGTCAGGTCACAGCAATGTTCATTCTAAGTTCACTAACATTAGTCAATATTAGCCATCTAATGTTACTGGTTTTACAAGACCAAGTGAGACTGAAGTGGAACACACACATACGCACAAGAAGAAAATCTGCCTCGCAGTTGTATGCTTCCACCAAACACTCAAGATACTGTCAACATTTATCTGTCTGTCTAGACTCATATTTTGCCATGACAATAGACAATGCTTCAAATATGTAAATATGTTCCTGCAAAGCAGCTACACTGATGAGTCACACACATCTTCCCCCCCCCCCGCAGCACAGAAGATCTATACAATCAGCACAGTTTCAAGGTAGACACCCAAGATTAGTGTCACCCATTAAGTATCCCACTAAATGTCATTCTTTCAGTTCCTCAGTTATGACGCTGAGTCATGGCCAGAAAAGTGTATTTGGAGAATATTTTGATGTCACAGTGAAGCTGACCTTTGAACTTTTGGGTGTAAAATGTTATCACTTCATCATTTTATCCTGTTAGACATTCAAGTGAAATGTTGTCATAATCAGCCAGAAAGGTGGTTTGTGAGGTCCCAGTGACCTTTGACCACAAAAATCTAATCGGTTCATCTTTGAGTCAAAGTAGACGTTTGTGCCAAATTTGAGGAAATTCCTTCAAAGCCATCCTGAGGTATCACCTTCATGAGAATGGGACAGACAAATGAACGACCCGAAAATATAATGCAAAGTATATAAAATTTGAATAATAATTCAGTCACACTGGACCGCTTGTCCTGTCAGGGGTCGTAGGGGAGCCTATCCCAGCTGACACTGGGCGAGAGGCGGGGTACACCGTGGACAGGTGGCCAGACTATCACAGGGCTGACACATAGAGACAGACAACCATTCAGACCACCTGTCCTGTGTGTTTTTGGACTGTGGAAGGAAGCTGGAGTACCCGCAGAAAACTCCCACTGGAAGGAACATGCAAACTCCGCACAGAGGGGTTTCCCCACCCCGGGTGGGAACCAGGAACCTCGCTGTGAGGTGACACCACTTTACCACCGTGACGCCCAAAACAAGTTCTTCAACTTTTGATTTTGTAAGAATAAAATTATTTTTGTTTTCTCACAACTTACATTAAATGCTTGCTCGCATTACAAAAAATGTATGAGATGTGAATATGAATCTATTTTCATATGGGGTTTCGGCGCAAGAAAACTCTCTTATATGTTTCTCCGTTCATAATTTGTCTTCAAGGAGCCATTTTTTAAAATTTGCAGACATTGTATGAGGATTTGCTATTCAGATGATTTGAAGATGGCAAACAAGCCTGCCTTGCTGGGAGACAGGATGTTGGAATTATCAAAGGAGAGCCTGCACTTTTATCTGCTCATTGTACAAATATTGTCTCTGTAGTCTCATCTTTTATTCTTTGCACAGAGAAAGAACAGAGGAGGAGGAGTAACCAGCTGACTTTCTCATGCGGCTTTGCTGACAGTTCGCCAGAGTTGTGGTTTCGCTCATTTGTATGGTCAGAAAAAGAACTGATTGACTGATACGGAGTGAGAACGAGAAAGAGGAAGAACTGTCCATTATAGGAGAGTGAAGTAGGGAAATGTGTGGGAGGAGGGAAATGTTAATGTAAATTTGTAATTAAACACACACACACACAGCATGCTGACTAATCAAACAGTGCCAGACAGTCTGCTTGGACACTTACCGTCATCGCACTCCCACAACCTCTCAGCAAGGTGGCCTGCTGTTAGCAAAAGAGCAGCGATGATGATGATGAGTAATAAGGTTGTTAGTTAAAATCCTGGAAAATTCACACCTATCAGGGCGTTGCACGAAGCTCTGTTCTCAGTGTCTGGGACAAATGATGTCTGCTGTGACTGCAAACAGGGAATGCCACCGAGCCGGTTTTGAGTTGTCATATTGCTCCCACAAAGATCAAAGAAATCTCTCGCTCTGTTGCACAGCATTTGCAGGAGTGTTTGGCCAAAAGAATCACGTAACTGAGGGCTCCTGGGAAAAGCAGGTAGTGACTTGTTGGGCAAATATCAGGAGGAGAGGTGGAGGCTTAGAGGTGGACACTGCCTACAAGAGGACGAAAACAAACAAGTCAGCCTCAGATTACAGGTTTAACACTGACCAGTCTTATGAGCTCCCTCATGTACCTGACCTCTGTGACTTTACATTCCTCTGCCTCTGTTCCCCGTGAGGGTGGGCGCTTAGGAGCTCTTTGATCGTTCCATATCTGATCCCTCGTTTTCTGTATAAGGATCATTTGACTGGAGGCATTTGACAGACAACAGACAACACTTTGATCCATTCTCTAACAGTTATAAAACAAATTCCATGCCAGAAGGTTTTTGTCCCAACATGATATCATGACGCAAGCCTCTTGAGTTTTGGATTGGAAGGTATTGTGGTTTAAATCCAAAACCACAGAAGGGATTACCTTCACATAAACTCTACCAGACTATGCTGTAGGCTAAAGCGGGTTTCATGTGCCTCTGCTTGATATGCAAAGGATAACAGTGGGTCTTAGGTATACCACATCACTCAACCTGCAACCAACAGGACTTATTTATACCTGTCAGGTTCTCATTATCTTTGCCTTTACTGAAAATAATCAACCATGGTACCCAAATTTCGCTCATAGTGAGAAACCAATGACAAATAATTAGCCAACTCTACTGTTTCCGTCTACTCAAAGAACAGCTGGCCCTCTACTTTACTGTTTTGGTTCAGTCTCACAGGTCTCATATCTCATCAGCCTAAAGTTTTAAGCTATCTGCTCATCATCAAATGGCAGACCAGTCTCGGAAGCCATCAGTTATCATCTTAAGCCTTTGTGGCCAGGGGCTAGTATTTTGGGCTGATCCAGTGTGGCAAGTGGATATCCTGACCAAGACTTCCTCCTCCATGTGCCAGTCACTTTGGCCAATCTCTATAAACAGATTTGAATGCAGTTGAATAAAAAAAAGAAGCTAAAATAAAGCTTAATTGACATCAGAAAATAGCCGGTGGGTTCCAAGATTGCATTTTGGCAGATGTATTCTGCCTCTCCACACAGACTGTTTACCTGCCACTCAAACATGATTATTAAATACTATTCGGACTACTATTATGGAGATTAATGGCAGACAGACAAAATTAGTGACTGGCTCAGCATTGCCAGTATAAAGACTATATTAGGCTATATATATTTTTTCATACCTTTATACCTTTCTGAAATTTCAGCAGGGTATACAGTATATGACGGTATTTGTGTGCGGCACTACCTAATCCCCCAAAGCCTAAACAGTAACTTTGCTGCGTTCCACAAGCTCAATGTTCCGTCTAAAACGGGCACTGTGTAGGAATTTCTCCCATCTAGTGTTGAGATCGTATATTGCATTCAAACGGATAGCGCACTCTAGTGCCTCACTGTTTCAAATGCATATTGCAACAACGGTAGCCGCTGTGTACCAAAAAGCTATGATAACATTGATGAAACAATGTCATCCGATACTACATGGAGTATTCATTCAGGCTCCTACACAGACACACGTGACGCGAGTTGACAAACCCCCTCCTCACCATGCTGGCTGTGTTTACAGTGTAGGACTGTTGGGGCGGGTGTAAATCGAAACAAACCAATCACATCTTGTCTTTTGACAACTGACCAGTGGCTCAACCTCACACACCTCATCCCTCGCCTTGCAACACTGCGCCGCTAACAGCACTAACAGCGCTAACAGCAGCTAACAGCTGTTAGCGGTGCTGTTAGCGGTGCTGTTAGCGGCGCTGGTCGCTTACAGCTGTTACCCGCTGTTAGCTGTGATTCTCCTGCAGCAGCTCTCTCCACCTGGGAAAGGCTACCCCAATATTGACCCTCGTTTTTTGAAATCGCTGGTCACGTTGCCTTTTTGCCTTTTTTCAAATGCACCGGCACTTGTGACTAGCCTGCTTGCTGCTGCTTTTCGTCACTCTACCTGCAGGTGGAAACCAGAAACCGACAAGTGAAAACGCGAAAAGCGATTCCGTATTTCTCAAGTATGTCCCTGTACATACCTGTATTTTCAAGATGGCGCACGTACATGATGAGACACCGGTCGCAATGTATATGTAAATGAGAATTTCGGAGCTTACGGACATACTTAGATACGCTGATGGAGGTAAATACACATGTGCTAGGACATACTTTTGCAAAATTCGTTTGTCTCAAAGAATAACTGAAATTGTTACACATAGTGCCTTTAAACAGAGAACTACAACCTTCTGAATTTAAGTTAATTGTCTTGTTAAGTCATTATAAATACATAGTTCATTCAAAATCAACAGAAAAAAAAATAAATCACTGAAACCGTTTTGGTTAGTTTATCCACTGCTCCAACAATCACCAACTCTGCTTTGGTTGAATTAACCCTTGATTCACCCAGTTAGATGTGAAAGTACACTGTTTTCCCCTTGTGCTTTCTCTACCATTGCTAGCCAGCTATTCACAGTCCTGTAACGTTATCCCCACCAATGGCAGAGGCCAGAAGAGACTGACCTCTAATGGTGCATGATGTGCACTGCATACAATACATCCTTAATACAGCATCTGTCTATGAGTTTAATAAAAGATGCCTGTCTATGGTTTTGACGGTATTGAAAAACATACCGTTGGGAATCATAAGTGCTATATCGTCTAGGCAACTGGACTTGCTTGCATTTCTTGAAGAAGCTTCTTCCGTTCTGATCAGAACTAAAGAAGCCTCTTGGATGAGAGGCGAAACCTCTACAAGAAACACAAGCAAGTCCAGTTGCCTACGATATAGCACTTATGATTACCATGACCTGGATGACTGAGAATCTTCACCGACATACCGTTGGGATATCTGAATACCCTGGTATACCATAATACTGTGATACTGCCCAAGTCTAACAAAGCCCACTTGAATAGTCATAAGATGTCCCTGGATTATGTTACACGCTAATTTGTATATTTGGGACATCATTACTAACTATTCAAACATATACAAGATTTTAAAAAGAAATGCCAAAATAAAGTCACGCTAAACTTGACTGACTTTGACTGGATTTATAACTAGCTATTTTTAAAGCTGCCTTTTTATGAGGCCAGTTTTGACTGTGCAACTGATGTATCATGAGGATCCAAACACTGGAATACACTCACTCTTGTAAACTCTGTGCTTTGAGAAAAAACGAAGCTTACAGTAATTAGGCAGTTTGTTTAGGGCAAAAACAAAGGAAAAGTTCCCCAGACAAACATTGGGGACCAGTGATTGGTTGTTGGATGTGCTCATTTGCGTTTCTGTGTGTGTGATGATTGGCTGACTGAAGGTGTCGCTGCTCTCCTCCACTCACTGAACACACTCACTTCAAAGAGCCACACTCTTCAAGAGAGAGGAATGAAGGTTTGCCCAAAACAAGCAACTAGAGTTATGTCCGAGTATCCACATACTTTTGGCCATGTACTGTATCATAACTTGAGATTTTTGCATTACAACCAAAGGCAGACCTCACTGTCCCATCAACTAGAGCTGTTCATCACTTGTGCTTGAGCCACACAGTAACTTTAAAAACACATTCCAAGAATCAACAGGCCCATCCTCATCTTCACTCCGACACTATCAGAACCAGAAGGTGCACATTTTCAGCCAAGAACTTTCGCTTCGCACTGTCAAACCCTCCACACCTCTAACTTTAATGCTGATCATACCAGCACGAATTATGTGGCTGCCGTCTGAAAACACTACCAGACACACATCATTCCATACATTTCAAAGTTTATAGACTCAAAGACAAATGTGGCAAACAGAAGAAAGAAATTCCTTTGAGGGTATTTTACAACTGTACAATAAAGGGAACTGAAGGGAACGGCTTCATACTTCTGACACATTTGCATGAAACAAACAGACAGCTCCTTCTGACTGCCTGGGAAAGATTGTTGAAAATTAAACCACACAGAATTCATTAGATAACAGTGTGTCATTATCCCACGCTGGCTCTTGTGCAATAACGAGGGACCACAGCAAGACGCAACAAATGAAACTAAGTTTGCTTTAAAGGATAAGCTAATTTTTAACACATTTCATGCTAACAAAAGGTTAATGTTAATGTTTAACACCTGAGGACCTTAGGTGGTTAACATCATATTCAGCCCGTTCAATATTAGCATTATGATAAAAATGGAGTACTGTGACAAGGGCTGAAAAACTATTATCCTCGTCATAATTTGTTTGACATTTGAAAGCACCTCGGGCTGACACCATACTTGCTTCTCACAAACAATTACAATAGGAGTGCCACACTTAGCTGCCTTTCAGTATGATGTATGACAAGGATGGGCAAATATTTCAAACAGCTCAACAAGTTAGGGCCAGTAAGGAGAGGGCACAGCCCATATCCACAAAAATTTGCGTTGATCAACTACCCAAACCCGACCCGCAAACTGCCAACTTTAATCATAATAGTGGAACAAGTGTCAGGACTGAGGACTGAGACAAGGACAGAGTGCCGAAGCGTGAGTGTGTACGTGAGCGACTGATAGAGACAGGGGAAGAGAAGGTGGACTACAGACCTTTTTCACAGCGGACATTTTTACATGTCATAACAGGAAAAAACAGGTGTCTCCAAGAACATTAATGATAGCTGCATTCCACTTTGGGGAGGCCCTGGTCCTAGGAAACTCAAAAGTTTCAGGGTTTTGAGTAGATTTATAAGAGAGTTTCTTTGGGGGGGAAACAACTGATTGATGTGTCTGCAAATGGCACTGATAACAGCAGTGACTGTAAATAAAAACAGTAAAGCTTCTGCATTAAAACCAAAACAATGAGCCAAAAGTCACTAAAACGCTCCGCAGAGCTGAGGGGAAAAACAGCTGTGTGATAATTCTCTGTGGGTTTGTTACTACAAGCAACCTCTTTCACTTTACACAGTAATTTGATCCATTGTTA